GAAAAGCCCTCTGTTATTGTGAAAATATGTGCATACACAGTAGCCAGAATGACATGTTTTTTGTGTTTTGTTTTGGTGAAATGCGCTAAAAATTTTTGATATTTCAGATTTTGTCAAGATTTTTGTCAGAAACATTAATGTGTCTTTTAGTTTTGGGTTTAAAGGTCTCTCCCCATTCAGCGATATAGAAGTCTGGTCTTGTATGAGTGAAAGTAACTGCCCAGTGGCATTGCCAAGATGGCTGCTGAGTGGACACACTTTCTTATAAGGACTTTGGCACAATTGAACACCTGTGCCAGCAGTGGGTGACCTTAAAGTAGGTTAATTCACTCCTTACAAGGGCTGTGTGGACGCTTTTGGACATACGGTGTGTGCAAGATGGAAATACTTCAGTGCCAGAATGTGAAGCCACACATTTAGAGCCTATAGGCTAATTTATTGTGGTTTATTCAGTGTAATAAGTGACGCTTCCGCCCTCCATGCTGTAGACTGGGGTTTGATCCCCCACCTGGACCAACACCCTACACTATAACACTAAGAGTCTTTGGGCAAGACCCCTAAAACTACCTCTGTGAAAAATTAAAGGTTCTGGATAAGAGCGTCTGCCAAATGCCATAAATGTACACTTATGTCAACAAATGTTCTTGCTTTGATCTTGTGTAACGTCCAGCGTCTGAACAGTGGCAGATTTTACCAGTGGTGGTTTTGGCAGAGTGGCAGCACCCGAGGATATTCACTGCAGATTTATAGAGTGAACTATCCATACAACCATCTCAGCCAACATTAAAAACATGCAAAACAACAGTAACCAACATGCTTATCTGTTCTGATAACCTGTGTTTGGAAAATAGCAGCTTTGTATTTAGATTCAGCTGCACTGAATTTATCACTGAATCCTGAATCCTATTTCCAAGTATGTCTACTTTACATGGGTCGTAATACATAATTGCACAGGCTCTATCATAACCATGTGGAATAACCATGTGAAGGCCGCAGTCTGACACCAGTGCAGTGTCAGGATGCTGAGGATGCTAGATTTACATGACCCCAACACTGCAACACTATTCACTATTAACCAGGCATCTGCTCACCACTGACACGTTGACACAAGGAAGAAGACATAACAGTTCAAATCAGACAAAGATGATGCGCCGTTACAAAACACCTCAGCAAATGTAAAACCTAAGCCATCAAGCATCCCTTGACAGTTACTGCTAATGATAATGTGACTTTAAGCTTTGGACATCTGGTTATGTCAGTGTTCTGTAGCAATTATAAAGTGTTACTAAGCACACTACATCTTATCAGTGTACATAAGCCTGCATCTGCTCACAGCAGGACAGATGTTTAGATGCGTTTTTACTCAATGCCATCACTGCACACATTCCTGTGGCTTCCTCATCCACAGCTGGCTCCAGGCTTTGCACACTCACACCCCCTTCAATCCCATGTCTCAGCCCTCTTAGGGACTCTTTTCCATATCTTCACTTCCCTTAGATTTATCTCACTTCTTCCTTCCAGGATCTGGAGGCCTGAAGTACAAACCTCAGTGAAAAATCTAATTTACACCCAAACGCCACCCCCCCCCCAAGACACATGAATGTAACATTCATGTGTCTTGGTAAGGGTTATGATCAGTTAGTGTTGTGCTAACTGGTTTCCAACTTATCTGTACACATGGATGAAAAAGGTTTAGGCTTTAAGTTTGCCGCTACTGTTTTCAGCTATGCAACATGCTTTTTACGTTTTTATTTGTTATTTTTTGCCAAATTATTTTAAGCATCTACTTTAAACACCCGACTTGTTTCTTTCTATGCTGAAAATTTGTTGCTCTTTCTGCATTTTTTTCCGGTGTTTCTGGTTTCTGGTCTTACAGCCCATTTTGTTTGGCGAATGGTATTGGGTTCATTTCTGGCTGATTCCAGGTTGTTTAGCTGCTCTTCTGTCACAGCTGCTGACAGTTTGGGAATTTAGTGTAGTCTCATCTTCAGAGTCTGACCAAATTGGCTGTCGGTCAAATGTGATCTTAAAAGTGTCCATTTTCTGTTTGTAGCAAAGTAAGAAGTAAAAACGTTCAAATGGCTCGAGCGTCTCCTACAGCTGTCAAAGTCGTTGCTTAGTAACAGTGTCTCAGCGGAGTGATACAGTGTTTGTGAAAAACCTGTGATGTTATGGTGAAATAACAGCACAGTTAGAACGCTTCTCAACCATTTAGCTTGTGTGGCCGGAACTAACTGTTGTATAAGTTGATATTAATGATTTGTTTTTTTCACACATTTGGGCCATAAACTTTAATATTTATATACTACATCGAACTTTTTCCTTTTAATAGGAAGTATCAGCCTCTTCTCGTCTAGGATGGCGATTATACAAGCTGTGTCATCACCTGAATTCCCTGATTAGAAGGACTGTTTGGACACTTTCTTATCCATATAGTGCATCTTGAACTCCTGCTACGCGATTCTGCGGTGGTCTCTTGTTTCTCCGCCCTTTAACTCACTGTGTTCTTGACAGGCAGTTAGTTTTTTCCTGTATTTAAGCTCTTTGTTTGTGGTTGTGTACACAGCACATGAACCCCAGTGAGCAATGCAAATGATCTGGTGATATGAACCCGTTTCACAAAGTGCTAAGGATACCATACCTCAGACAAGACTGTCATTTCGATGCTTGGGAAGCATGTAATTATGTTCAAGTCACAGAACCTCGGGTACATGTCGAGCAAATTGTTTACAGATCCCTCTGCGAGGAGCTCTTCATGGTTTACACAGCTGACAGAGTGGCCTATAACTCAAGGGAGCCCAGCAGAGACGCTAGTTGTGAGCCAGAATGCCGTAATGTATCCAAAAGCATGCAGGACCAACTGCTGACCTTACTTTCAAGACACATTGATTAAATGTTGTTGCCCATGCTAATCATTAAAATGAGCAAATCTCAAAATTTATATGCTCTGACATGCATTTAAGGGCGTGTATCCTACATTTTGGTTACATTTTATTTTTCCCTGAGGTCTGTTTATGACATTTGTGTGGTTTTATGTAACCAAAAACAGCCATAATTCATTTTTACGTGACCATTTTCCAAGATCTCTTTATGCCTTACAAGAAAACAGGCTGTTGTTGTTGCCTTTAATTCTGATGTATGTAAAAAACCTCTCCTTTGATTTGTTGCCTCATTCAAAAAGCAGTCCAGGCTGAAACAGTCATTATATCGCTAGTGTGAATGGAAACACTACATCAAACTCTCATATATGTAAAAAAATAATGACTAGGCCTGAAATAAAATGATTGAAAATGTTGTGCCTGATTAAAATTATTTACTAAACTAATTTATAAAGTATAACTAAAGAAAGAAAGTAAATTGGACTGTGAGGGAAAATGAGCGATGATAAGTGGAATTTTGTCTAATACTCTGCGTAAGAACTGGTGGGCCGCCCAGAAAACACTCAGCAAATCGCCAGTGGACCGCCAACTTTGCCATCAGTGGCCCACTGTCCTCTTGTTTTCAGGGTAATCAACTACATGAAACTTACTTTGAAAAAATAGGGGAAAAAAAGGTTTTTTTTATGGAAAACTTTTTTTTTCCCCTATTTTTTTCAAAGAGTATTAGACAAAATTCCACTTATAACCACTCATTTTACACTCACAGTCCAATTTACTGATTTTTCCTTCCTTCCTTTCTTTAGTTATACTTTGTAAATTAGTTTAGTAAATAAATTTAATCCAGCATTTTCATTTTATATCAGGCCTAGTCATTATTTTTTTCCTCTCACTTGTTTGTAATGTTTTTCTTAGTTTGTTTGAAGCCGACCTTATCAAGCCAGGGGACCGATATATGTGTGTTATCTGGGTAGATGTTTGGTGTCCACTTCTAAGTTTGCTTCCTAGTTTTGCTCTAAGCCTGGAGGTTTATGTAGCTAACAAGTAGTAGAAGCTTATACCCCACAGTATCTCACAGAAATCTCTGTGTGGAGTTGTTCAGCATCTTTAATAGACTTGATTATGTGGTTTCTGAAACTGTATAACTCACTGTTATTTATAAACATGGACTAAAGCGCATTAGCATAGCTAAAAACAGTAGTAGCCATCTTGCAGCTTCAATATCTGCACTTTTGTCCATTTTTATAGATAACAATGTATCACACAGTGTCAGAAACAACATAATCAAGCCTATCAGAGATTAGTGAACACCTCCACATGCTTTGAGACCAGTAATGATTTAGGCATGCAGTTAGCACCATGCTAATTGATGGGATATAAGCTTCTATGACTTAGCAACATTAGCCTCGTAGCTCCAGTGCTAGAACTAAAGAAGCAAACTTCAGACACCAAACACGTCTCAGCTGATTGACTGAATTTAGGGTATAGTCTCACAATATAGATTCATTTTCTTGTAATATTGACTTAGTATCTTGAAATAATGTCTGGTTTTGATATACTAAGTTCATATTTTAATATAGTACATCAACACAGCTGTGCTGTGTTAAAGAGCGCCGTGTGAGATCATTCTTACCCACTGCTATACGGCTCTACAACGAGTCTCATTACTGCAGAGACGGTACTGATCTCCTGCTGTCTGAACTGTGCTGAACCACATCACTGTATGCCTGCTGTCATGTAAATACAACAAATCTGTCTCATATGCCATGGAAATATGTAAATAGATATACTTTTATTTTATTTCTTTTGCTTTAACTTATGTCTAGATTTATTTCTTTTTTCTATTTTTCTGCATAGTATACGTAAGCTTCCCTTCGGGATCAATAAAGTTCTATCTATCTATCTATCTATCTATCTATCTATCTATCTATCTATCCATCCATCCATCCACCTACCTACCCACCGACCTATCTATTTATCTCTAACATTTTGACACAAAATGAAGAAATGAAGAAACTGAGACTTGTATGTGATTCTTTTCTTCTCTACCTGACAGGAACGAGCTTCCAGACTTTAAAGATCACTGTGGCTTTCTAATGATTTCAATCGTCCACTCTCTTAAAGGGGAGAAGTGGTACAAGCGTCACCTGACGTACCGCATCGTGAACTGGCCGCGGCACCTCTCGCAGGGTCCCGTGCGGCTGGCCGTGCAGATGGCCTTCCAGCTTTGGAGCAATGTGTCCGGGCTGGTCTTCCAGGAGGTCAGCCAGAGTCCAACAGACATCCGACTGGCCTTCTACGAGGGAGAGCACAACGACGGAACAAGCAATGCGTTCGACGGCCCAGGTACGAAGACCCCCAGTTCAGTGCTCTCTTTATTTATATCTGAATAGCATCCATACTAATGTGTTACAGTTACCACACTGGAAAGGAGCTTATTTGTAGGGGAAATTTCACAGACTTTTCAAAATTTTTTCATAATTTGCTGGTTGTGATTTTCTGGTTACTGGTTTTACTGGTGAAGATGTAAATAGAGTCATTCAGAGTGGTTAGATGTGAAATGATTCATTGTGACCACACGTCATTATCAGTTTTAGTATATTGTCCATGGTATAGTCAGAGAGGAACCGTCGGGACCTTCTAGTCATTCAGAGACGTTTTAATTGTTTCTACAAACCAACCAAATACATGTCTGTAATTTTTCATTCTTGTTGTATTTAAACTCTGCAGTAATACTCTTATGTCATTGTTAAGTGTTAGTTGGAATCAAAAGGGCTAAAATCTTTGAAACGACCAACCGAAAATTAGCCAATCAAAATTGTTTTCTCTGTGGTATCTAGGTAGCTAGAGCCATGTGAGCTCTACTATTGGTTAGGCTTTCAGAAATATAATTGTCTGTTACAAACTTCAAATGTCAAAATGGATCATCACTAGTCTACAACGATAAAAATAACTTGCATCACTATTAGCTTAGTGCTAACATACTACTAGAAATCCCATAGAAATTAATAGAAATTATTAGAAATGAGTATTATCATAAACATTGTTTTTTGCTCAAAATTTTTGCCTGAATTTTGACATTCAGCAGTGTCGACTCTACCTAATAAGCATCATAATCGGCTGCTTAGAGCCCTGGGGCACCCCTAACGAATTTTAGCCTTGCTAGAAAACCCAGCATTGTCCTGCATAGCTGATCACCAGCAAAACCAGCATATCGATGATGTCGGAAGAAAACCTCGTATCTCCATTTTTGTTGTTTTTCAGTTTTTGACATGATTTGAAAACGCCTGTTGTCCTTTTCATTGTCTGTGAAGTTACCATTTTGGAGATACAAGGTTTTCTTCCGACAGACCGTGTTTGTACGCTGGTCTGCTGCTCAACAGAAGTTGATATGCTGGTCATCACCAAAATCAGCATATGTTGAATTTGTTGCTGTTATGCTGGTCAACCAGCATGACCATGCTGGGGTGACCAGCTAAACCAGAACCAGACTAGCATAAACCAGCATAGACCATCTTAGACCAGCATGAAATGCTTGCTGGTCTGTGCTGTTTCAACAGAGGTAAATGAAATGAAATGACTGCTGAATCATGCCTCCAGAAGAAGAATGTACTCATCTGGAGCCAAAACATAGAAATAGATAGAGAAGTTGAGCAGAAAAAGCTAAAAGATTAGTATCTTTTTTGCCATTTGTTTTGACTATTCATTGGAAAACAAGAGTAGTAGTAGTTGATATGGATAGATTAGCCTTCACAATCCAAGCAGAGTGTTATTTTTAAACCATTTACAATGTGTAGGTCTAGAGGGAGTGCCTATGCGGATGGGCCCCCAATAAACCCATGCTTAGAGCCCCCAAAAGTCTAGAGTTGGCCTTGTGCCACGGTTTTTCGCTGGTAATAGTACATTACATTTCGTTGCATTTAGCAGTGTGAACACTCTACTTGCTAGTACACAACCAGTATTTTAGATCTGATAATGTGATGCACATTACCACGCAAAGCAACAAAGCCATTTCAGTTAGAAATGTCTGGTATGTTGTAATCAAGTCAGAGGGACTATAAAGCTCCATCTCAGACTCTCCTCTCTGTCATCTTTGCCTTTGTTTCCCAGGCGGTGCCCTGGCTCACGCTTTTTTCCCATGCCGGGGCGAGGCTCACTTTGACAAGGCGGAGCGCTGGACGCTGAATGGCCATAAAGGACATAACCTTTTTCTGGTGACCGCCCACGAGATCGGCCACACGTTGGGATTAGAGCACTCGCCCGTCCGTCACGCCCTCATGTCGCCCTACTATAAGAAGATGGGGCGCAGCCTGCTGCTCAGCTGGGACGACATTACAGCAGTGCAACAGTTATACGGTAAAAACTTCTGCTTCTTTGTGATTTATGGGCTTTATATTTACATTATATGTGCAAAAGTTTGTAGACAAAGTTACAAGAGTATTAATAGTGAGTTTGTGCTGCAGTAACAGGCTCTACTCGAGATTAAACAAGCTGTGTTAACACCTGTGCAAGAGGTGCACCTAAAAGTAACTAAATTCACTGTCCGGATATTTTCAGTAAAAGGCACAGAACCACATACATTCTCACACTCCACGTTTTCACTCTGCTCTCTGTGCTCTCTTTCCTGTCCAAAATGACTCTTTCCTGTTTTTTCTATTTTCCTGTCACTGACATATGAAACCGACAAATTAATTTCCTCCTTATCTGAAATTTAGTACTACAGATATTTGATATCAGCAGTTTTTTTAGTATGTACACTGGAATTACAAGGCTGGAAAACAATTATTCAGACACTTTTGTTTTGATATTTAATACACCTCCACTGTGTATACAGCCACTACAAATTTACACACATAATATCTTTTATAAGAAACCAAAAACTGTGAGTTCATAAGCAAAGACCAGTGGTCAGATTACATGTTTTGTTGACTTTCTAAGGGAACATTATGGGGGAAATAAGTGGAAAATGATGTAAATTACCTTAGTCTTGCCACTTTTTTTAAAAAAAGATGTAATTTTCAAAAATAATTTGAAAATTTGGTTGCAAATCAATTACCTGAAGCTAAATGCTGATAAAACCGAGGTTCTTTTAGTTGGAGCTAAAACCTTACTTTCCCGGGTATTGAATTTTTCAGTCAACATTGATGGTGTCGATATTAAGCCAGCCCACTTTGTTAAGAACCTTGGTTGTCTTCTTGATTCATCTCTCACTTTTGAGTCTCACATTAAGCTGGTCACCAAAACTGCATTTTATAATCTGCGTAACATAGCATGCTTACGCCCTATGCTGAGTAACACTGACGCTAAAATGTTGATCAATGTCCTCATCTTCTTTCGCATCGATTACTGTAACTCACTTTTCTATGGCCTTCCAGCTAAACTAATCAATCGTCTTCAGTACATCCAAAACTCAGCAGCCAGGGTTCTTACCTCCACCAAGCGCACAGCTCATATCACTCCTATTCTTCGACAGTTGCATTGGCTTCCTATTAGTTCAAGGATTAAGCACAAAATCCTTCTTCTTACCTTCAAGGCTTTACATGGTCTGGCTCCGACATACTTTTCTGCTCTCATTTCATTATATCGTCCCTCTCGTGCTCTCCGATCTTCTGATTCTGGACTCCTCACAGTTCCTTCAAGTAGACTCTCTACTATGGGTGGCAGATCTTTCAGTGCTGCTGCCCCCAAACTCTGGAATTCTCTACCTTCCACTCTTCGTAATTGCTCTTCTTTGTCTTCCTTCAAATCTCTGCTAAAAACCTTCCTTTTTTCTTCTCTTCTCTTCTTCTCTAGTCTTCTAGAATTTTTTTTGACACTGTATACACTACATAAGTTGAACTTATTATTATTATTATTATGTGAGTGAATTATCTACTACTGTCATCATATCTTCATCAGTAAAATGTTGATCTAGAGATCATTTGAGATCTATACATCATCTGTGTGTGTGATGTTAGTGCGTAAAGACGTACGACGTGGTGTGAAAAACTCTCGATTCAACGGCTTTGACTTTTAAATGATCATTTCAGGAGACTTGCAGCAGCGCACACTCATCATATTTTAGCCTGTTTTAATTATTAGTAATGACACTTCTTTCAGTTTTAACAACAAAATCTTACAGTGCATTTTTAACTGAACTCTTTGTGGGATAACTGAGTGAGGCTGAGTTCAAAGTTAGCAGTCATAGCAGGCGAACAGTCAAACTCGGCTGTTCTCAAACATCCATGAGGCAGGTTTCCACATGCACTGCCTGACACGTCCGTCTGTCAGTCCTCCAGCTCTTGTGGAGGAATGCACACCTCGCTACCTGGACTCACCTGCTCAGGCGTCGGGAATCTGGTTTTTTTGGCCGTTCTGGAGCACAAACACTTATGCTTCTGCTTTCCTCAATGCCTTCTAGGGCAAAGTCCCGCTTCTCTTCAGCAGAGGAGGATGTTTGAGTGTGCTTTCGGATAGCCGGCCCTATCAGATGGATTCAGACAATGCTGATCAGATAAAGCGCAAAGATACATTTTAGGAGATGTCTGTCTGTTTTGGGCACAGAATGAATGGGCATTTTAAGTGTTTTTTGAGTTGTCACTTATGTGGTCTCTTTTGCAGAAGGAGGTCTATAGGAAATGCCATTTGAGCTGCTTCTGAAGGGACTGTTTTCAGTGAGGCTTGTTTTGTGATTATATAACTGAAGGATGTATACAAATGTAATGCCTCGGGGACATGCACAGTCCTGACTGTGATATCACACTTTATTTTGACTGGGAAAAGCTCCAGATGCTGATTGTCATGAAGCTGAATTACCTTGGGCGATTGCCTTGGGCAACGTCAGTTTTTCTGAGGTTTGCAAACAAGAATGAACAAAATGCACCAGCAGGATAAAAGCTGTGGAGCACTGAGTACAGTGTTTTTTGAATTTGTGATAATAAACACAAACTATTTAAGAAGAAACAAGAGGAGAAATCAAACATTTGGTAAAAAGCAATGATAAAATAAGCTAAAGGCAAAAATGGACTATGCAATTTGAAGGAGTGGAAAAAGAACAGAGAAACTGTATTGAAGTGATACTTTAGCACTTTAGCAAGTGGTATTTTAGCAATATCTTACTCCAGGAGTTCCCTGCCTTTTGCAGCTCATCGACCACCCAACCGACCACAGAAGCTTCCTCTGCCCACAAGAAGATTTAATCGGCTTATCAGATGCAAAAAACCCACAATAATCAATGTAGCCTAGTGAATTTCACTTGACTACATAATCAGGCAACATGAGGAACAGCAAAACAATTCCCAGATTTTTCAGTTTGAAGCCATTTATCTATGCTGAATGAATTCCATACAAAGAAAAAGTGTTTTACTGAACTTGTACAGATTTTTTGCCGGACCAGTAACTGAGCTCGACCTTGACATTTGATGTATTATCTTTGTAAATAATTATCACAACATTAATAGTTGTCATATTTGACATTACTGGTTTGGTTAAACCTCTATGTATTGTAATGAATGACTCCAGGCAGCCCCCTGGCAGCACCATAACGATCCACTGGGGGGCCCACAGGTTGAAAACCACTGTTTTACTAAATTAAAAGTGGAAATGTGGAGCTAAAAATACATAAAAGTCAGAAAGTATTGACATTTAAACAATAAGATGTATAACAATACAACTACAACGTATTGTATTATTCAGTATGAGCCTCACAACTCAATACGCACACAAACCGTACATTTAACATAATAAATATATTTTAATGTTAAATTGTATTACATTATAGTAAATATTACCTAAGCAAGCCCTCTGAAAATATCACTTCATTGTTACCTCTAAACTGAGAGCAGGGAGAAAAAGCACAGCATATGTTAGCTCACGGCTAATATATTAGCTTGTGGCTAGTGGATTATATGCAATAAAATATTGTACTTTCATCATTTTGAATGATGAACAACACTCTGATAAGCATATTAACAGGAGGCACTCCTTATTTTTGCTGTATCGAAAAATGATCAAATAAAGAAACCACTGCACTGTATCATATATCGTAATGAACTTAGTGAATCGTTACACCCCCTTTTACAAACATGCAAACGATTCTTAGATACATTGCGATGCGGACGTGAACAATTCTGAATCGATTCACAAATGTCAAAAATCGATTTTCTAAATATTTAATTTATAACATAAGGTTGACGGAACGCAAAAAGCAGAACTTGGAAGTGCGGAAGTGCAGCACCCGGACAGTCTGTGACGGCACACAACAAAAACACTGCTGGATGAGCGAGAAATCCGACCAGCACCCTCTGCATTAAAAGCCAGGTTAGGTCAGGAGTCGACAACCCAAATGTTACGAAGAGCCATTTTGTCCTTTCAACAAAGATCAAACCACCTTGGGAGCCACAACATTTAATGTCCAGTATGTCTCAGTATGTGATAATGTCCTAGTATAGGCTAAAAATATAAACAAAATCGCAGACTTACTTCGCTCTGCTTTAAGCTTTAGCTATAGCTGCTTTTCCTCCCATCTCCACCACGTTCAACTGTTTTACGAGGCTGAAGTCGCTTCTTATTCTCCAGCTTCTTGTTCGAATTTTCCCGTTCCACCATAAATTCTGCCTGAGGCGCCAGAATGTAAATGCAGCACCATTTAAGGTGGACCGGGAAAATTTAAAAGAGATGCGACTTCAGCTTCGCAACTTTTTGGTGTTTGACAGTCTCTCGTTGCAGGTTTAACATTCCAGGAAACCAACTGCGCTGCTTATAAATGCAAATTCAAAAGAGAAGCGACTTCAGACCTGCAGTCTGCACGCCAGTTCATGTCTGCGTGAACATCCATATCATCTTATGTCACTGTAACTACATTTTACGGCAGATGAGTGACAGCAGTGTCTCATGTTCTCCAGTCAAGAGCAGTGAATGAGAGCCTTCCAGTTCACTTGCCACATCACTTCCATTTAATTTATTAATAAAAGATATTGGAAGTAAATTCATTATGGATCATTATAAATACTTTGCTTTAAAAGTCCTCATACAGTGAGAAAATAGAAATCCTGTATAGAAAAAGATGCATCAATAATCGTTTTATAATCACAATCATAATCAAATCGAATCGTGAGGTGCCTAGAGATTCCCACCCCTAGCACACATTAAATAATTTAGCAAATAAATGTTTTCTTATTTTGTGGTGTGTGATGCGGCGACTGATGGGCTGTACTAGGACTGTTTCTTGATTAAATGTTTTAATAAAAACCAATAAATTAAAATGCAAAGGACTCGAAAGGAAAAATAATAGAAAAAGGTAAACATATCCTGGCCTTCATGATTTGCAGCAGGTAATTCTGAAGGTCTAAATGAAAATATAAGAATTAAAAATATGCATGTTTTTATTCAAGAAATGCAACTGACTATAAGTCAAAGTATTTAATTCCTATAATACCTGAATACAAAGTACACACACACACACACACACACACACACACACACACACACACACACACATTTTCTAAGCTGCATGTCCTTCCGGGTAAGGGGGGTGGCTGCTGGAGCCTATCCCAGCGGTCATTGGGCGGAAGGCAGGCAACACCCTGGACAGACCGCCAGCCCATCGCAGGGCAGACATATACATTAACACTCACACACACACACACACACACACACACTCACACACACACACACACACACACACACACACACACACCTAGGGGCAATTTAGCCTGTCCAGTCAGCCTGACTGCATGTCTTTGGACTGTGGGAGGAAACCCACCCAGACACTGGGAGAACTCCACACAGAAAGGACCCTGGTCACCCGGCCGGGGAACCGAATCCAGGCCCTTCTTGCTGTGAGGCAACGGTGCTGAGTACAAAGTACAGATTATACAAAATCATACACAAGCATGTATGCAGTAATGAAGTACAGTAGTTTAGTATTTACCACAGCTGGCAGTTTATGCGGTTGACATACGCTGGTTGTCATTGTTTCAGGCTCTTTTTTATGACCATATCCATCACATAGAAAAATGCATGGCATGTTTGACATTGTTTATCATACCTACAAAACATATCTATCCCTAACCTGCAGTGCTCATCATTCTGAGAGAGAATGAGTGGAATTGTTTTCAGCCCTGACCTCACCTTAAACCATATTCCCACTGGAGCCTGTTGGTGCTCGCTGCAGGCTTGTCTCTGATGCCTGTAGGACTGTGTCTTCTCCCTGGATCTCAGGCTAATTGCTGCTCAGTGATAACAACCAGACTCCACACCAACCCAAATAGCTTTACTCCCACACACAGTATCTGACCTTCACTAACTCTTATGGACACCAAACAGAAATTCACACAACTTTTGAGTGTTCACCTCTTTTCTGTGTAAATCTCGTTCAGCTTCTTTGTTTGATGTGTTCGTCTCCTTTTCTCAGTGAGGTTCTTCTTGACAGCTACACATCCTTTCAGACCCACAGCGCTGAGCTGTCTTCTCACAGTGGAAGGATGGACAGAAACACCTGTGTCAGATCTGAAGCAGCTTGACTTTCTCCTCTCTCTCAAAGATGAAAGCTTTAAGTGCTGCTTATCTGATGGGAGCAGTTTTGGTGTCTACCAGGTCTTCCAGGTGGTTATTAGGAGACACATTTTCTCTGTAGATTTTTTGAATTCCAGTTTTGGAACCTGTTTTTGTAACTTATTTCCCTTTTTCTTTCTCAGTTGATTGGTGATCTTATATTAATAATTTGTACTAAATGACTGGAAATTAAACAAACAAAGGTGGTAAATCATTAGCAGATTACAATGTAACAAACTACTGATTATGTTTGGAGTAATCCTAAATTGTATTTTAGCATTCTAGATCTGGTCTGTCAAGTCTGCAATAAGCTTTTAACCAAATGCTAGTCAGTACAAACCTTTTTATTCTGTTTTGTAGACGAACACTCAACCTAGTTCATTCATATGTACTGTCTCTTAAGCTTTAGGCCTGACAAACAGTGGAAGTGATCTATATCCTGTGGACTGGACACATATCCAGAGTTCATCCACCCAGAACCAAACACGAGACATGTAGTCTCCTTCTGGAGAGACAGCTCCACTCTCCATATCATCAGCCCCAGAGTCTTTCCTCCACAGCTCTCCTCTGGGGATGGAGATGTTATCCGCGGCCTGAACAAATGTTTGCTCAGCCTTTTGCAAACAAAATGGGTGTGCGGCCGTCCTGGGCCTTATCAGAGGAAGCATTGTGTTATACTCGTGTGTTAAACGTCGGGACGTTTTCCTCACATTCATAAACATCCATGTTTTCAGTATCTGTTCTCTGTTTGAAGGAGTAGTTTGGCGAAAAACTACATTTACCCACTTTTTCACTTAGGTGTAGTCAGTCAGCCAAGACGTGGCTAAACCAGGGGTCGCAAAGGAGATTTTGTCCTTTCAAAAAAAATCAAACCACCTTGGGAGCCAAAACATTTTTGTCCATTTTTCCATCTTGGCTGTAAATATGTCTCAGTATTTGCTGATGTACTAATATAGACTAAAATATAATATAAATGAAAAAACACAGACTTTGCTCTGCTTTAAGCTTTAGCTCAGCTATAGCCACTTTTCTTTTCCCGCATCTCCGGCAGGAAACTTTTCCACAAAAGCAGAACAGTTTCTTGTAAAATGTCTCTCAATGTTTGTTTTTTTTATGAGGATGAAGCCAGCTTCCTGTTCCACCTTAAATGGTGCCTGAGGCACTAGGATGAAACCGGTGCACCTTTTAATGTGGAACAGGAAGATTCTAATAAGACTTGCTCTTTGTGACTTTTTAGTGTTTGAAAGTTTCTCGTTGCAGATTAAACGTATCAGGAAACCAGCTGGAGTGATTATAAACACAAATAAGTCTATTCATCTCCAAATTATCAATGTTCGTCTGAAATCTCCCTCTTTGCCGTCTGCGCTGATCTTCAGGGTTAAAGGGTGATTTAGCAGTTCTACATTAACTCCAGACCATTTATTGTTAAACTGTGTTGAACGATCAGCAGAGCTTTATTTTACTGTAAAGGAGGATTATTTTATTTTTACCTGCAAATCTAATTCTGCTGTGGAGCCACAACAGGACAGTAAAAGAGCTGCGTGTTACCAACCTCGGTCTAGAATATTTCTGTTAGCTGTGTGCTTCAGCACAGCCCTGCTCTGTTTCTACTGCTTTGAGGCTGAGCTGTTGTTGCTCCTAGATGCTTTCATTTCACAATAATAGCACTTACAGTTGACAGGGGCAGATCTAGCAGGGAAGAAATTTAATGAACTGACATGTGGCAGGGCTGACATCCTATGGCAGAGCTATGTCTAAAGTCACTGAGCTCAGTACAACCCATTCTACTGCCAGTGTTTGTCTATGGCAACTGCATGGCTATGTGCTTGATTTTGTACACTTGTTAGCAATGGGTGTGGCTGAAACTCCTGAACTCAGTTATTAGGATACTTTTGGCCATATAGTGTATACATGCATATTTTATACAACAAATTGCAAATAACACATCTTCTACACAACTATGGTGTTTTTGAAGATTTTAATGCACAATTTCTGTTTATTTGATTGAAACATACATATTTTCGTATGTATGATTTTTTTTTCTCTCCAATTTGTTAAATTCAGCAAACAGTGAGTGGGCAGGATGTTGCATCATAAAAAAGACCTCAAGGGACCTTCATGCTGCAATGCCAAAGTCAGCAGTCACTTTTTAGTCATGGTTAAGGTTCATCCAGGTGGTGTGACCCCAGAAAAAAACATGAAAATTTGTTTTTATGTATTATGTGTTATGATGAATGATCATAATGTCTGTTTATTTAAAAATGTAAAACCTTGTGTTCAAGGATAGAGGTTCATACAGGTGTCTAAGTACAAAGACTAGTGTATACACGTTTTCTATAAAACAATATTTTTTATTAATGTTTGGTTGCGTTTGGTAAAACTGATGATCCTGTTTCATAAATTTCTAGCAATATAAAAGCCATGAAACAAATACCAAAACATTGACAACATATTTTTTAATATATATCTATTTTTAAATTTAAGTTTCTAAAATTATTGTCATTGACTATCATTGTAAATGTTACAGTATTCACAGTATGTTAAGATATATGAGTGAGTATTATGGGAAATTTCTAGCTGTTGCTTAGCTACAGAGTCAAAGATATTTAGATGTTGCCTTTAAGTTTACTTTCCCACAGTGCAGGCCTTCCCCTGCATACTAAATATAGCTGAAAGTTTCTTTCAATCATCAGGAGATTACATGTCTCACAGAGTATATCAGTCGCATGAGAGCTGCACTGTATCACTCTACATTTCTGATTTACAGTTTCAAGCTCTGTTTGTGTGTGTTTGTGTAGGTAAGCCATCTGGTGGTGCTGCGGTGCAGATACCAAGCCGGGCTCTGAGCTGGGCCATGCAGGACTGGGAACTAGCTGAGGAACCTACAGACAGGAACCTTTCCCAGCCGCACTATTGCCAAGGCCTGTTCGATGCCATCACAATGGGTAAGGCTATAACATGAACATGACAGGCACCAAATTTACACCACTGCTTTACCCCCAATGTAGTGAATCAGCTAAGGCATTTCGTGTCTTGGAGTGGCGCTAATGAGGCTAATGTAGATAACAGGTAATGGAAGCTTATAGATGATGATTTTACTTTTCTATAAATATTAGCCGGTTTCACAGTGTGCTGCACTACAATCCCCAGCATGCACTGCAACATAATGTGCACTCCCACCCCCCTCTCCCCAGCAACAATCAATGGGATAGCAGTTACCCCACAATTCTAAAACACCTGTCATATCAGAGAACGTGTAGACAGGACAGTTACTGCTCTGTAATGTCTTCAGGGTTTCTCAAACACTAGAGGGCGCTCCTGAGAGAGTCCAAAATGAATGGGTTAAGATGGAGCATTTGAGCAAAATCATAGTTCATAAATGCTTAAACTTTTTTAATATTACAGAATACAATTTGTTCCTGAACACAGAACAGCATAAAACATTTTAACACTGCTGTTATGTTTTTAAGAGCATTTAAACTCGAGTTGCAGGAGTTTAGAACGGCGTCTCATGTACGTCCATGACATTGGTCAGCATGAACAGCCAATGAGCTGCTCCGCTCACCAACCAATCAGCACACAGTAGCAGTAAAGTTAGCATTGTACTGCCCAATAAAATTATATATGCATATATATATATATATATATATATATATATATATATATATATATATATATATATATGTATGTATAATTTTTTCATTTATTTCAGATATTGATTTTAAAGACTACTGTAAGTGCCCGAATTTTGCTGGTGACATTTTGGCATCATTTGAATAAACGATGGCCAGTTTGGGTTGTGGTTATAGCAAAACATTATTTATTCTCTGGATCATGGACATGTTGAGATTTTTTAATATGGCCCCGGCCTAAATCATCACATACTTGCCTCGAACTATGCAAAGTTGTTTCAGTAATTTCTAACTGACTTGAATTTGTAGTTTCTGACATTGTTATTGCTAATGCTAACTAGTGGCTAAACACTTTCATTACTGTTTAGCTACACTAACCTCATAAAGTATTATGCAAAAGTCAGAGACCATCCTTCGTTTATTTTATTTCCAGTCTAAACAGCCAATGAGTACAAGCAATTTTAAAGAGATATTTCTGAGGCGATTATATAGATGATACATGCTGTCAAGAAGAACCTCAGGAGACGGACACAAAAGAAGAACATCTGCACTAGAACACGAAAACTGGACATCTGAGATGTGGATTAAGATTTTAGTTCAACAGGTTTAAAGTTGTAATTAGATTGCGAGAAGCAGAAAATACAACCAACTTCTGAGACTGAACTTTGGAAAAACAGAAGAATGGGAGCTGTAAAAAAGGCATTTTCTCTTAAATATACAGTATATTTTCTGTTTTTTTCTGAACACTGAAAAATGAATAAGTGGCTGTGTTGGCTGTAAATTAATTGAATGAAGGGTGGTCTTTGACTTTTGTACTGTACTGTAGCAGTACTGTAGCTGTGAAAGACCGAAGAAGTAAACTTTGAAAAATGGCCCTGATTTTACATGTTCACACGTTCTTATTACAGATGGGAATGGGACAGTGCTGGTCTTTAGGGGTGGGCTGTTCTGGACGGTGTCATCTGAGGGAAATGTAAGCAGCCCCCTTATTCTTCAGCAGCGCTGGCCTCACCTCCCATTCGCCATCGAGGCTGCAGCCTTCTCCCCATTGGACGGCAAGCTGTACTTTTTTAAAGGTGGGCTATCATTACTGTTGCAGGTGTCCTAACTTTATTCCATCCCACACATAAAGCAGGCTCGAATATGAGATCCAGAGAGTGTTTCCCACCCTCAAACAGCTTTGAGAAACAAGCAACTGGCTGAGGCCTCCTACGTTCTTAAATTGCTCTCCTATTTAAATCATGGGAGAGTAAAATACTGCTGTTAATGCTGTAAACACAACAACCCAGATGTCTGCTGACTCAGTTTTTCTAATCTTGTTTAAGAATCCCCCCCCCCACCCTTCTTTGCAGGGCAGGGCTTAGAAGGCAGCTACTATTCAGCTTCAGTCTTTTTTGACTGACTGTCATATTTGCTTCTAGAATTTGCTATTTTGATTTGATATTTAGTGGAATCCATTCATTTATCTACCCATGCAAAACATGCTTAATGCTTGTTTTCGAGTGTCTGTTTGCCCCTTGGAACTGGGGTAGTGTTTAAAATCTTCCCCACGAAATGGAACAACCCTCAAATAAAAAGAGCATTACTTCATTAACAGCTACTAGTGCTGCTCTGTAGGCGACCCTGCCAGTCTGCAGTGATAGCAGAGGAGGGTAAAGTTCAGCTCCTCACTGCTGGGCTTTAGTTACATTTAGGCCATCATATGCCTTCAAAGAGGGGGGGCAATTATTTATTATCACCCACCCCTAATTCTTCAGTGATATGAAGCTGAAGTCAGATATTCACCAGCTTCTCGTTCGAATTTTCCTGTTCCACCTTAAATGGAGCAGCAGTTACATTCTGGTACTTCAGGCGTCAGAACTGCTGGACTATTTAAGTTAGCTAGCTAGCTACCGAGACATTAGCATGCTATTACCGATTTTTATGCTTGTTTTGAAGAAAATGAACACAATACATTAAAACAACATTAAACTTAGATAATACAATGGTTATCGTAATTTTTCAACCGAGAAAATTCTCACATTTGTGGGTTTCTTTGGTCTCTTGTTCAGCCATCTTGCTGGTTTTTCTTCTTTTCTCATAAAACTCTGTTTGGAGTCTCTGAAAAACCTCCGTTTGGAGGGCCATGTTGCCCAAACACTTCACCCTACCCTTCTATCTCAACAGGAATCGGGACACCCTACCCCTAGACATGAATGTGCAAAACAGAGGGCTAAGGGCTCAGTGGTAGGGGTGAGGAGTGAAATGGGATTGGGCCTAAATGTGGCTAAAGAGTTCAATTTTTACTTCAGATAATTTTTTTTTATGAGGTCAAATGTCATATGTACACTAGTGTATAGTGTACAAGTTTGGAATCATATTTTTCCACAATAAAAAAACAATTTAGTTGCAGATAAATATATGAAATGATTCTAATATGTTCATCTAAACAACTTAGATGAAGAGATTGTAGATAATCAATTGGAGGCTGTATAAACATCTAAAATGATAAACAGAGCTGTAAAAGACTCTGAAATGACAGAGATTATACATACATACATACATCATCTAAACCGCTTATCCTTCTGGGTCACGGTGGGGTGCTGGAGCCTATCCCAGCTGTCATTGGGCGGAAGGCAGGATACACCCTGGACAGGTCGCCAGTCCATCGCAGGGCAGACAGACAGACAGACACATTCACACACTCACTCACACCTAGGGGCAATTTAGCATATCCAATTGGCCTGACTGCATGTTTTTTGGACTGTGGGAGGAAACCCACACAGACACGGGGAGAACAGGCAAACTCCACACAGAAACTACCCGGTCGCCTGGCTGGGAATCGAACCCAGGCCATTCTTGATGTGAGGCAACAGTGCTACCCACTGCGCCACCGTGCCGCTCCCCGACAGAGATTATGTTCTAAAAAAATAATAATATCCAGAATGCCTCATATTTCAATCTGGATAAAACTAAAATTGGACAAACTAAATGTGGATAAAACTAAAATTGTAAACATAATTTTTGTATTATTTATCATTTTATTTCATCTAACATCTCCCAAATAACCTGAATGGTGTCTACCTTATGATATATACCCCAATCATGCATATCGTTATGACCACCTCCTTGTTTCTACGCTCACTGTCCATTTTATCAGCTCCACTTACTATATAGGTGCACTTTGTAGTTCTACAGTTACAGACTGTAGTCCATCTGTTTCTCTGCATACTTTGTTAGCCCCCTTTTACCCTGTTCTTCAGTGGTCAGGACCCCCATGGACCCTCACAGAGCAGGTACTATTTGGGTGGTGGACCATTCTCAGCACTGCAATAATACTGATGTGGTGGTGTGTTAGTGTGTGTTGCGCTGGTACGAGTGGATCAGACACAGCAGTGCTGCTGGAGTTTTTAAACACCTCAGTGTCACTGCTGGACTGAGAATAGTCCACCAACCAAAAATATCCAGCCAACAGCATCCTGTGACCACTGATGAAGGACTAGAGAATGACCAACACAAACTGTGCAGAAGCAGATGAGCTATTGTCTCTGACTTTACATCTACAAGGTGGACTGACAAGGTAGGAGTGTCTAATAGAGTGGACAGTGAGTGGACAGTGTTTAAAAACTCCAGCAGCACTGCTGTGTCTGATCCATTCGTACCAGCACAACACACACTAACACACCACCACCACGTCAGTGTTACTGCAGTGCTGAGAATGATCCACCGCAAGTACATAAAATCATAAGTGACTCTAAAGTTGTGTGGTGCGTATGTCATCACCATCTACATTATATATACATGTTTATCTTTACTCTTTGTTTCCCAGGTAAGCGAATGTGGCGGTACTCCGGCACCAACCTGGACCCGGGGTTCCCCAGGAAGAGCAGCGAGTTGGGCCTGCCGCGCCACCTGGACTGTGCCTTCTTCTACAGCCCTTTGGGCCGCATGGTACTTTTTAAAGGCTCACGCTACTTTGTGCTCAACCTAGAGACGCTTCGTTCTGAGCCGTACTATCCACGCAGCCTTGCAGACTGGAAGGGGGTCCCCAGGGGGGCTAACGGGGTGCTGACCAGGCCGGACGGCCGCCTTTACTTCTTCCGAGAGCAGAAGTACTGGAGGTTCGACCCAGGGAAGGTGCGGGTCACTCGGACCGGGCAGTGGGCCGAGACGTTAGAGTGGACCGGCTGCCACAGGACTCTCTCAGAACAAAGCAATGACACACTGTGACCAGCAGGGGGAGCCAGAGACATGAAACAGCTATTGACTTGAGGCAGTGGTCCTCCAGATGGTCTCCATTCATCCTTATGCTTATCATCCTTACGAATTAGGTTGTAGCAAAAATGTGGATTGTCTGTGAGGCTCTGATGATCCGGACTGAAGACTGATTTGATTAGAACGAAATAAAAGGGATCGAAAACTGAAAAAGAACAATATTTTTCATAGAATGTAACTGAGAACAGCAGCAAAATCAAGCTATTTTACAAACTTGGTCAGCTAGTAAATAGCTTTCTAAGTTTGTTACAGGTTATTTTTATAGGATCCATGATTTTATTGGTTCGTACTAAAAAGAAACAGTGTTTTGTCAGTTCTGCTCCAGCATTCTACACCTTCCCTATTCACTCTGATCAGAATAAAATTAAAAATACAGCTAATAATGTTCTTCTAATAAAGCCTACTGTGCGTATAACACAATAACACCAAATCAAGTTGAACAAGAAATGATAATGTTATTAACCTCATTTTAAAACAAAGTATTGTTCCTCTTTGGTCTTCTGTTTTTGTCCTGTGTTAAGTCATTTCTAATCTCCAGTTAAGGAGAGGGCCACGTGCAATTCAGTAAAAACCTGAGACTTTCTTGGAAAGTTGTCATGGAAAACCATGTTTTTCCTTGTCTGAACAACCTGGACAGTTTTGTTTTGTTTGTGAACTGCAGCCTAAAAATATAAAAAAATGTTCATGTGTATAGGACTGTAAAAGTATTATTATGAAAATTTGCATTTGTTGCATATATGTAATCTCAATAATGAGCATAACTGTACTGTAATTCCAGTTTAAAACTGATGTATTTTAAATAATGCAAGCTAATATGTGAGAGCTGTGTAATCTACACCGATCAGGCATAACATTATGACCACCTCCTTGTTTCTATGCTCATTGTCCATTTTATCAGCTCCACTTACTATATGGTGCACTTTGTAGTTCTACAATTACAGACTGGTAATCGCTGGTCTGAGTGGATCAGACACAGCAGTGCTGCTGGAGTTTTTAAACACCTCAGTGTCACTGCTGGACTGAGAATAGTCCACCAACCAAAAATATCCAGCCAACAGCGTCCTGTGGGCAGCGTCCTGTGACCACTGATGAAGGACTAGAGGATGACCAACACAAACTGTGCAGCAGCAGATGAGCTATCGTCTCTGACCTTACATCTACAAGGTGGACTGACAAGGTAGGAGTGTCTAATAGGGTGGGCAGTGAGTGGACACAGTGTTTAAAATCTCCAGCAGCACTGCTGTGTCTGATCCACTCGTACCAGCACAACACACACTAACACACCACCACCACATCAGTGTTACTGCACTGCTGAGAATGAACCACCACCCAAATAGTACCTGCTCTGTGAGGGTCCATGGGGGTCCTGACCACTGAAGAACAGGGTAAAAGGGGGCTAACAAAGTATGCAGAGAAACAGATGGACTACAGTCTGTAATTGTAGAACTACAAAGTGCACCTATATAGTAAGTGGAGCTGATAAAATGGACAATGAGCATAGAAACAAGGAGGTGGTCATAATGTTACGCCTGATCAGTGTAAGTGTGCTGTATGAGTGCAACAGTTTAGTTTTGGTAGTTTTTAAAAAACTAATGTGAATATTGTATTTACAGTATCGTCGCTGTTGTGCCGAAAACCTTGTATCTCCATTTTTGACGTTTTTGAGTTTTTTCATATTTTGAAAACTCAGTCTACCCTTTAAACTGTATAAATTTAATTATGAATAGACAAAAATTGTCTACAACTACTTGGAAAAAAAGCTTGTTATATTAACTTCGATTATGAATTAAGAATTTTTTTAATTCTCCTGTAAAACTACAATTTTGGACTTTTTTTTCTGACAGCAGCGATACACAGAGTGAGTTTTTGTAACTCAAGACGGTCAGTCCTGCCTCTGCCTCATTTCTACACCTGTAAATGTAGATTGTGCAAGTGCAGAGACTACGATGCTATTATGCTGTCTGAGCCTCCGTGTGCAGGTTATGATTATTAACATCACATGAAGGAGGTCATTTACTGAACTGGTGAAGGAACACAGTGGGCCTTGTTTGTAACGGAAAGATAAGCTGAAGCTCACCGGCGACCTCTGCTGGACATAATACAAAATGGATTCCATCTCCAAGATGCTAATTTTAAAAGGGGAATTTCACAGATTTTTCTAAATTTCTGCATAATTCAGTGTGTGTAATGTAAACAGAGTCATTCAGAGTGGTTTGGTGTGAAATGGTTCAGATGTCTTTACAGTGGTGGTGATAGGAACCAGGGGTCGCCATGACTACAACACAAATATAGACATTTTATTATCCAAAACCACTAGTGAACCTACACGAGTCTTCTGAGATTATATGGAATGTTGATGATGGAAAATAGTGGAAAATCTGAAAAAAGTGTTTTTGGCCTCTCAAGGTCCTGCATGTATCCCCAGTGAATGGATTTTTAAAAATGTTTCTCTATAACTTTTTACATCTAACCCCCTGAATTATGCAGAAATTTTGAAAAATCGGTGGAATTCCCCTTTAAAACACTCGTGTTTTGTAGTAGCGAACTTTAAAACAACACACAGTTACTCACAAATAGAAACAAATACAAACATGCCACATTTTGCAGCCCTGAAAACCAAAAAAGCTGCAGTTTGACTGAATCAGTATTTGAATAGTCACACAGTTTGGAGCTGGACTGAAACTCCTCTGTCCTGTGGTGAAGGAAGAGGGAGTAGAAGCTGAGAGATTAAAAAAGGTTAAATGTGATACACGTACGCCTTCAACTTCAAAATCACAAATATAGAAGATGAGAATCCTTCCAGATTTATTAAACTACACCACATACTGGTACAGCGTGTTTGGCAAAGCTGTGTTAATGTAATACATTATAGATTAAGTACATTAAAGATCTCACTCTTTACAAATAATAATAAAGAACACATACGTTGCTTTTCAGCTCACTTTTAAATACATAGTTTCTTGTTAAGGTACAGTATAGTGCTGTAAATCTAGAGAACCTTCATCTATCTACAATACTGAGGTAAATTCTTCTAAAACACAGGTCTATTATCTCTCAACAGACTGAAAACATCAAGTGGGCACTATTACTCTATTTAGTTCACTGATACATACAGTCGAATGCAATAGTGTGAACGTCCAGTCTAAGAGGAAAACAACCATCTTCTACACAGACCACACTTAAATATGGCATTTTTCTGCTAATTTTACTGCACAATTTTTATTGCTGGAAAAAAAAAACACGATCTAGAATATAAAATGCACAAAACCGTTTGGAAAAAAATTTCCCAATATATTAAATTCAGCAAAATAAACAGTAATTGTGCATTTAAATGTGCAGAAATGTGTCTCTGTAGAGGCTGTTTTCACTTACGGTTACTTAGAAAATCAATAAATCGATAGAATTTGACCAGGGGTGCACAAACTTTTGCATACGACTGTACAGTGCCTGATTGTGTATGCTCAAATTTTAAATTACAAGAGAAATACTGTTTAATAAACAAGCTTCATCAGACCTTTCAGAATAAGAGTCCTGATTTTAGATCTGATTTTGCCTTTTATATTTAAAGAACACTAGAACACTATTAGTCCAAGAGCTGGTGGACACCTGCTCATCCTCTTCTGGGAAGGCTTTACACTAGATGTTGGAACATTGCTGTGAGGATTTGATTGAGCATTAGTGAGGTCAGGTACTGATGTTGGATGGTCAGTTTTGGATCACTCCAACCCATCCCAAAGGTACTGGATGGAGCTCTATCACTCCAGAGAACACAGTTCCACTGCTCCACAGCCCAATGCTGGGGGGCTTTATACCCCTGTAGCCCATGCTTGGCATTGGACATGGAGACCTTAGACTCATGTAACCTTAGGTTGCACCACAGCCCCATTCTTTTGGGAACTGCTATGTCATCAGTGGGCGATAAAGAAACTGATCTGCAGTCTTTATCACAGGTGGAGCAATGAGGGCTTATATTTCAGCCTTTGTTGATCCTTTTTGTGCAAAGCCATTACATCACAAACAGTGTCCACAGAGCTGACTGTGTTATCTTCCTTCTAGTGGAGTAAAAATGCACCGACGCACCTGAAGTTGGTGATTTAACATTGATTTTGGAACATTAGTATTGATTATTATCAATTATAATTATTTATTATAGATAATAATAAAGATTTTTTGGCCAAAATAAAACACTCTCTAAACATAAAAATTAAAAAAAAAGAATTTGTATATTGGTTTACTTGGTCTTGTGCATTTAGTATTTTTGTAAAAATAATTGTGCCAAATTAATCTTAACAATAATTGTTAATACCGGCAGCTCAATTCCACCTTTTCTGGATTTCCAATTTGTCTGAATAGCAAAAAGCTACATGCAATCTGACATCAAATCGGATTCAAGCCACGTCAAAGGTTCAAACCACATCTCTGGACATGAGATTCAAGCTGACCAGATTTTTTTTCATGTTATTCTTTGACATTTAATCAAAAATCATGTGTTTGCAGCCCAGACATAATCAGTGTCCAGCTGATACTAACAACCGGTGTGGACAAAGTGGGATCAAAATGTCTGGGACCACCACTGAAAAAGCTTCCGCTTCTGCTTTTTTTTGTTTCTAATTTATTAATATTTAATAGAAATATTTTCATTAGAAATTCTATTATCAGCATGACAATTTGAGTGCAAAGTGGAATCTCTAAAACTTTAGCATGAATTTCAGAATTTTAGTTTTTGGTGATATGTTCTTTTGCTTCAGTGACAGTGAGCACTCGAGCTGCATGGGCGCCAAAAGTTTGTGCAAAAACTCTGATCAGTAGATCAAATCCAACTAAAAGTCTGAACATGAGCTTCACTGGAAGAAATCAGACAATCTGAGCCTTTCAGATAAAAGCCTCAACACGGTCAATTTCACACAATTGCTTACATTTGAAACAGCGCAGAATCTTGAATATTTCTTAATTTAAAAAAATAAATATCTTAGATTTTCAATGTGGTCTCAGACTTTTGGATCCCACTCTATGGGAACAGATGTGACCATACAAATTAGATTTGGTCATTTGCAGGGCTGAAAAATACTGAAATACGGATTCTACTGCATTACTATACTTGAGAAATTTGGAAGACTTGTACTTTGGCTCCTTTGTAGCCACTGTTCATCACGAAAACTAGGCATCTTGAGCAACGTTTATATTACAAGCCTCATTGCTCAAATCTGTTTTTTTGCTAAAATCCGATCTCTCTGACACGATGGTTCACACTCGTTTAGGTAAGTGATTCAAATCTGTCATTAATGTGAACAAACCGGCGTCCTGAAATGACCCGCATGAGCACATCCTACTCAGTAACGTGACATGAATGAATCACGAGCATCATCAGCAACAAACTAATGAGCAGAACGAGCTTCGCTGAGAAGATAATTAACTCTGATCAGCTCTCAGATTCATTATTAGAGCAAGATGAAGGAGAAAAAGGTGAGATGTGATGTGATATGAGATGTGAGATGTTTGGTGCTGCTGCCATGGTAACGCTGAATGATGGCGCATGCACAGTGAAAAAAGAGCACATGAATTCCGATCTGAGCATCACATTAAGGTCGCATGGCCACAAATCAGATACGTATCCAATCTAGGACCACATATGAAAGTGACTCAGGTTGGATTTGAAAAGATCAGATTTGCGTGTCCACACAGCCCTGAAAACATCAGATCTGAGTCACATCAGCGCAAAAAATCAGATTTGTGCCACTTTGACCTGGTAATGTGAACGTAGTCTTGGTGTAAAGTGGGCGGGGAAGGGCGGGGCTTATGTTATGCTCGCTCAAATGACTTACAGATCGATTATAAATTCTCAGGGTTGTGATTTTTGGGGGTTATGTTGTTAGAGGGCGGGCGCTGAAAAAGTTCTATTAGAGAACCAAATCAACCCGTGTAGAATAGAATTAGAACTTTGTAGAACCATTTATAACAAACAGAATATCGAAAATCTAAATGAATCTTGACCTCAGAACTGAAAATTGTGTTGCTTGGTGCAAACATTACGATATTAACATGAACACATGAACACGAAGCACGTTTTCAGGCACTCCTTATTTTTGTTATCTCGAAAAATATACGTTGAACGTCCATTACTCCCCACAGCGCACATAGATTTTTGAAGGGTTCAGCAGATTCGCTACTTGGGTTTTATGTCCAGCATTAATGTTACTTCAATCTAAAATATACTGTATTACATAAATATGTTTAAATGCAACTACTTTTTGACTTTTACTCAATTATATAGTTTTTCTGTATGTTTTTCTAAGTTGCAGTTAGTTTACAAATCAGATGTAAGAATCATGTTTGTTGCCCTGCTGCGTGAACTAAGCCTTTAAAGACTTTTAATGGTGCACTGAATTGTTTGCTAAAGAGGTCAAAAACAGACACGTAGTTCCTACATTCGTAGTTTGGTCAGATGAAGAACTCGTCCACTTGTTCTGCAGGCTCCAGCATCTGGGCTGCCGGCTCTGGCGGACTCCTTGGTGCCTCTGCCAGGCCGCGCCGCAGGTCCCTGGCCAGCGTCTCCAGAGCCGACGCCCCCACGGCGGCGGGTCTCTGAACCTGGGGGCTGACAGCTCGGCCCGTATCCACATTGGTCTCCGGCTCCTCCTCATCTTCCTCTGGTTCCTCCAGCAGGAGGCGGGTGATGGAGGGGTTGACGGACAGGGCGGCGGGGCTGCTGCGCTGGGAGGAGTAGCAGGAGCTCCCTGGAGGGGTGCTGCAGGCGCTGCCCGAGCCCAGGCTCTCTCCTCCTAGTCTCTGAACCCCAGGGGAGCCGTCTGAGGGCAGTTTGGTCAGAGTGCGCTCCTTCAGCTGGGACAGCCTGCTGAAGGAGCCGGGAGGGGCCGAGTGGAGTTGGGTGGGCACCGGGCACCTCAGCAGCGATCGCGGCGGCAGGCTGGGGCAGCTGAGGGGAAAGGCTGAGGTGAAGAGTCTCGCCGGCTGCGCTGCTCCTTTAACCTGCAAAAGAGAGGTGAGCGGTAACCCTTTAAACTGCGACCCAATTTAACAGCTCGTTCTCAGACAGAGGCCTGGACAGCAGCCTAAACACAGACTCCAGTATAAAATACTGTTAATTCAGGCAAATAAAGACTCACACAGAAGTAAAAGTACCTTCCATAAAAAACAACTTTGCAACCCAGAAGGTCAAAAAAGTACTCAAGTACTGAGAACTGCAGTGGAACGTCTTGGTCTGTACAGCGTCTGTCAGTACAGGAATGGCTTTTCTTCACTTTTTGGTCTAAAGTAAAACGCTAAAGCTCCAAAGTGAGAGCAACAGTAAAGCAGGAGCTGAACCAACACAACCAAATGAAATTGTAAAAAGAAAAATTGTACATATTAAGTCCATCATGACTTAAAGGCCAAACCATAGCTTAAAACTACCTTAAAGCAACTTAAAACGCAGACACAAGTCAGTGAATTCATAACCCTTTCATCTAATATCTTTCTGTGAGGGAGCTTTTAGAGGTGGACGTCTGGTTCCTATCACCACCACTGTGAGCAATTCTGACTAAGTTTCTCTAGAACAGAGCGTTTCACACTAATGACTCTGTTTACATCTTATCCATTTAATTATACAGGAATTTTGAAAAATTAGTGGAGTTCCCCTTTAAGCATTTTTGTGCTATTATTATGCAACTTTTTGATCAGAAAGAATTCACATTCGCCTTGAAATCAAGGAATTATTTCTGATCCAAAGCTCACAGAAAAAACTGGAGAAATGAAGATTCTACACTTTCAATCGAAAGTATAAGTGACAAGTAAAAGAGGAGATATTTTATTATGTTTTGTATTTGAAAGAAAGGTTATTGTTTAGTCTTGTTTAGCCAAAATGAAAAATCATCCTGGATTTTTTTTGTCATCCTTATGTTAAAAGCTGTTTATACAGAACATAAATTGAACATAAATGTAATTTGTTAAGTAATGTAAATCGAATGTATAATGAGCCTAATGACAGTAATCAGAGTAGATCTGTAGTAGTACTGGGTCAGACGGGTCTCACTGGTGCTTATAGTTAGTGTGAATATAAAATCATAACTCATTTTGCGTGTCATATTTGTGAGCGGATCGCGGGTCAGAGAGGGTCTCTGAGAGGCTGAGCGTTTTCTCTACATGACAGCTGGGGGAGGGAGGGGGATGTGATACATGATACTTGATGGTTAATATTATTTTGCCCCACCCACTGATGCACAGTTATGTCATCAAAAATCAGGTGTTTTAGAGGCTTGAATCACTACATTTGGGTAGAAGATTAACATGAACTTGGTCTTTTATATATGATATGATGAATTGATAAATTGTGCTACTAACAAATTTCATTTCAGTTTGTGAGATTTGACAGGTTTGTTTTTAAACAACACTGTCTATCCTGTACAAACTATAACATTTTGACTAATACGATGATTTTTTTTTTTAAAGCGAAGGGGGGCAATTGTTTGGGGGGGGTGGAGGTTGGAATGAGGGTGTTAACTGATGGTAAAATGTGTAACTATCTATTAGTAACTTAATTATTTGTAGATATTTTTGTGTTTAATGATTTAGGGGTGTAAGACTACATTTACTGTTTATGGCACTGAAGAAATGTCCTGTTTCAATTAACACATTATTTCAACATAATCAGTCAAAATCTTGAGAAAATGAGACATTATCTCTACATAGTCAAAATCATGAGAAATTAAGATATTATTTTAACATAGTCAGTCAAAATCTTGAGAAAATGAGATGTTATGTCGACATAGCCAGTCAAATTCTTAATGTTAATGGGTTAATGAGCCATTATTTCACCATCAAACAAAATCTCAAGAAATTATTTCTCCTCTAGCTGATTTTTTCCTCTTCTAGCTGAAATTATTTCTCCTCTAGTTGATTTTCTTTCTCCTCTAGCTGATTTTTTCCTCCTGTAGCTGAATTTTTTTTCCTCTAGCTGAAATTATTTCTTCTAGCCGACTTTTTTCTGCTCTAGCTGATTTTTCTCCTCTAGCTGAAATTTTTCCTCCTCTAGCTGAATTTTTTTCTCCTCTAGCTGAATTTTTCCTCCTCTAGCTGAAAATTTTCCTCCTCTTGCTGAATTTTTTCTCCTCTCGCTGATTTTTTTCCTCCTCTAGCTGATTTTTTCCTCCTCTAGCTGAAAATTTTCCTCCTCTCGCTGAACTTTTTCTCCTCTCACTGAACTTTTTCTCCTCTCGCTGATTTTTTTCCTTCTCTAGCTGAAGTGTTTCCTCCTCTAGCTGGCAGGAATGGGCTTGCAAATGAATAAACTCTTCTGTGTTGTGTTGCGCCTTCCTGCTTAAATATCTCAGCTAAATGTGAGGCATCTCACATGTGGAGGATCTTCCTCTTAACGGCTTTGTTTTACAGGAGGCAAAACAAATTACACAAAAATATAAACACATGTTAAACTTGTTGTTTCCACTGGCAGTCAAACTTTCATTTGATGAAAAACTGGGGTGGGGGTAGGGGTGCATGTGCTCGACTGCTCAGGCGCCTGTGATTAACGATATAACAGTCACTTTTTTTGCAGTGATTGTAAAGAGTTAAAAACACGTGCCTTCTTGAAATCAGGGGAAAAAACAGTCATGAATCTTATTATTACACTTAAAGTTGACTCTGACTGAGCTTTTAGTAAACCAGGGCTTGAATGTCTGGAGCAAAACTCAAAACTCATTAATAGAACCTTCCCAGTGGTTGAGGTCTGCGGTGAGAATCCGTCCTGAAATTCGCTTTCATACATTTTTCATGCTTGCTGCAGAGTCTCGGGTTCTATGGTGGTCTGCGAGTTGGTAGATTTCCAGAGAATCTTTTTCTTCCCTTTTCCATCCTGGAACGCTTTGATGAGACAGAATGGAGGGGAACCGACGTAGAGGTTCATCCCAGCAGACCCACTGAGTAATTACAGCTTGTCGTCCAGCACTCTGGGTCTTCTCAGACACTCAGGATCATTCTTGGCAGCTCAGCCCGGCACGAAAAACCACAGCGGCCTCACTCTGGTGAGCCGTTTACCATAAACCCCCACTACCCACAAGACTGCGTATTTACATCTGAGAGGAGAGGCTGTTTGGGGTTCTGCTCGCATCCTTTCAACATGACGGTTTTATGTTCGCAAAAACAAGTCGGTGGGCCAAACAGTCCTTTGAGGCAGATTCTGGGGGCACAAACAGCGATGCTGACTGGTATGTGACGATATGCAAACATTTATAGGCGGTTCGGTTCACTCTAGTGAGGCAACATTCAACAGTATCATCAGAGTAGATTTCAACACAGTAATTATCTTTGTGAAGTAAAGGATGAAAAGTAGATGTAATGAATCATACATACAAAACTAACACACTTCCAGCACCAGATAACAATGTGCAGCCAGCTCTGTTAGGCCTTGGGATCTGGAGACGGTGGGTCACTTCTAGCTTTCATAACTTCAGAACGGATTAAGATACAAATATGATCCACATATCAGGACATTCAGCAGACCCGCCCCTAACAAGCAAGCATGACGTCATCGAGCTGTGATGTCAGCATCAGTGAGTAATTCGGCTCAGAAAATCACCTAAAATCCATATATATTATTGCTCTGCTGTTTGGCCTTCATATTGCAACAAAGGGTTAAAACAGCGACATGATTCATCCGTCCAGATCACTCGTCAGACTCTGCCTCACCATCCAAAGTGATTTCTTCCATCTGTGACCATCCATCAGCCAGCAATCCAGCTCCAAAATCACCCAAACCCCACTCGCTACTGTTATATTACATCTCTGCTTTTAACCTTCATATTATAAACAAAGGACTTTCAGTTTTACATTGATTTTGAGTATTAAAAATATCTGATATCAAATGTGCAACTCAATTTGTAATTAAAAATAATGCCTGTCTTGCTGTGTATCAGAGTTTTAGCACTGAGCATGAATCCAAGAGGACAGAAAAACAATAAAAAAAAAAAAATGTCTGCCTCATGCTAATTGTTTATTTTTGCTCATAATAACTAATAAAATGAATCACCATCAAAATGATTGCACTTTCAGCTCACAGACACTCCAGACTAACAAGTTCTGAAAAGATAACTACAACTACACTTGTTTTCAAGATCTCTATAATTAAAAAAATACTAAATTTAACGGGCACTAGGTACATTTTTGATCAGGAATGACCCAAATTCATAAAGATGAATCAAATTTCTGTTAGCATTTACATGCCAAACGATGGCATATCTGAGCAGCCCAGGGTCTCCTGAAAATAACAACATATGGCAGGTGTGACTGTCACATGTAAATACTTTATAATTGTAACTGACCCAAAAAATGCTCAAAATTTTAGGTTTCTAAGGGTTAGCTGAAATAATATGCAGTAATATGAGGTGTTTTCACTGTATTTTGACTGTGTAAAGACTGGGTTGGTTAGGGGAGATAAAGTTAGCTGTACACTTGACCGGTTTCATTAAAACCACCTCATTGTTTCTACACTCACTGTCCATTTTATCAGCTCCACTGACCATATAGTCTCACTCTGCAGTTCTACAGTTACAGTACAGTACATCTGTTTATCTACATACTAGTTACCTTGTTCTTCAGTGGTCAGGACCCCCATGGACCCCCACAGAGCAGGGACTATTTGGGTGGTGGATCATTCTCACCACTGCAATAACACTGACATGGTGGTGGTGTGTTAGTGTGTGTTGCGCTGGTCTGAGTGGATCAGACACAGCAGTGCTGCTGGAATTTTTAAACACCTCATTGTCACTGCTGGACTGAGAATAGTCCACCAACCACAAATATCCAGCCAACAGCGTCCTGTGGGCAGCGAGCTCTGACCACTGATGAAGGACTAGAGGATGACCAACACAAACTGTGCAGCAGCAGATGAGCTACCGTCTCTGACTTTACATCTACAAGGTGGACTGACAAGGTAGGAGTGTCTAATAGAGTGGACAGTGTTTTTGCAGTGTGGAATTGGTTTTACCCGCCATCTAGGCGTTTCTGTTTCTTGTGAAAAGGTGCCTATTGAAACTTGCTCCCTGGCCTGATATGAGCTTTCAGTAAGCTTTCTAGATGGATATTCCCAAATCTTACCTGAAAGAGGATCTTGTTGCTGTCCAGGTCCTCAGTCTGCCAGCGGGTGGCGCTGATCGGCGAGCAGGGGTTGGGCAGAAGAGGCACCAGCTGCCCGATCTCGCCCACCCTGAACTGCAGCACGGCGGAGTGGCACGGCTCCACCCTGACCCCGGGCGAGAGCTGCTTGAGGGCGAGCTGCAGACTGAGCCCCCTCTCTGTCAACAGGGTGAACCAGCAGAAGCCGGCCTTCTGCTCCTCAGCCCGCCTCCGCAACACCATCTCGTAGAGCCGCACGGCGTCCTCGAAGTTGTCGTAGCTGCTGTGCAGCGTCAGCCGCACCACCTCCCCTCCGCAGTGCACCGGCCGCACCCCCCACACCGGCATGCCCGTGCCCAGGCTGTAGAAGTCCCGACTGGGCAGCAGGTAGGGCCGTAGCAGGGCGTTGGAGGGCGAGCCGGCGGAGCTGATGTGGACGCCCTGCCCCGCCCTGCTCCCGCAGCTCTCCGTGTGGTGGTACTGCCACGGCGGACACTGGAGGAAATCCAAAACCCGGAGGATCCGCTCCTCTCCGTATGACTCGTGCAGGAAGAGGGTGACCGCCAGCGACGGGTAGCCAGCCACGGGCGGCAGGGTGTAATCGCGCACCGGACAGGCGCGCTCGGACACGTGGAAGAGGCGCAGGCCCGGGCACACCCACTTAAGGAGGCGGTCCAGGGTGTGCTGCAGGAGGAGAGAGTCTCCAGGGTTGGCCAGCAGGTGCATGGTGACCAGCGGGGGCTCCTGACCCAAGCCCGCCATGAGGTCAACTAATCACGAAAGGCACAAAGAGGCAGAGGCGGGGAAGAGGGAGGATTATAGAAAGTGCTGGAAGCATAAAAACAGGTTGTGGCTTCAAGCTGATTACTGCAATATACACATGACTGACGTTCATAATCCAGTTTAAAAATGAGCAGAAACTGTACTCACTGCTGCTGCCGGACATTTTGCTGCAGTCCGATCTACACACACACACACACACATACACACACACACACACACACACACACACACACAGACACAAATGTTATTCAATAATAATCCATACAGTGTAGATTAAACTGTAATGAACAGGAAGTGATGGTTTATTCACTATTCACAATGAAATTACAAGAAATTATGAGTAATGGTTATTAATTAATAATAATTTTTGAAGAATAATAATTTGCTGAACGCTTTCAAATATGAGGGACATAAATTTTATCATAAATTTATTCAGCTGTCTCAAAGATTATGGAATTATTTACAGCTCTTTTCATCATTGAAAATGGACTGTTAAGTTTTTGGCTTAAATGTTTTTGGCTTAATATTAGCATCATATTCATATGTTGCTAACAAATAGCAACAACATTGATTTAATATTATTGAAAATAGTGTTGCCAAACCATAACATTATAACATAGAACATGAAAGTTTCAGCTACAGTTTACTGCAGTGGAACACATGACCTAATGTTCTTGGCTTAAAGGGCAATTTCACCGATTTTGCAGAATTCACAAAAATGAAATGTAAAAATCGTTCAGAGTACTTTGTTGTGAAACGGTTCATTGTAGATACTCCGATCTTTACAGTGGTGGTGACAGGAAACAAGAATCTCCATGTCTTTACATGATGGTGAAATAGTGGTAAGTATGGAAAAAATGCCATTTCATGTAATAACTTGCTGTGAGGGAGCTTTTAGAGGTGGACGTCTGGTTCCCATCACCAGCATTGTGAACAATTCTGTCTTGGTAAGTTTTTCTAAATCGGAGCATTCCACACCAAACAAACCACTCTGAATGACTTTGTTTACATCCATTAAATTGGGCAGAAATTCTGAAAAATCGGTGGAATGCCCCTTTAAGTTTGTGTGCGGGCTCTATGAAGAAGACTCTTGAGACTTGTTATCGTGTATAAACCGTATAAACCCCTTCTTTTCTTCCTTTTCTTGTACAGAATGTCCGCTTTTTACAGTATAAATCATTAAATGCTGCTGAAAACTGCATATAGTGCTAATTCAGAGTTTATCCGTTTCTCTCTCAGCTCCTCCGTCGTCCTCTTGGAAACCACAAACAAAGTGACCGAGCGGCTCTCTGTAGCATTTTCAAGCTAAAGCTAACTTTCCCATTCCACCTTAAGTGCTGCAGCGATTACGTTCTGGCGACTCATGCGCCAGAATACAACCGCTGCAGCTTTTAAGGTGGAACGGAGAAAATTCGAAAAAGAAGCTAATTTCAGCTTCGTACTCACCCCGCAGTCTCCGCTCCAGAGTCAGTGGTCTCATCATCCCCCCTGTGGTGGAACAGACACGGTTTTCGCAGCATTATTCCACCATTTAACCCCTTTTTGGATCCTTTTTTAAGTGACACACGAACTTTCCATCGCGGAATAACAGTAGCCAAGCGGTCTCAGCGCTCCGCTCTTCACTATGCTTGTTTTTGTCGCTTAATGAGCCCTAATGGGCCTCAGTTTAGAGGCGCCTTTATAGCTATCGCCCAAAAATATGGATATAACCTCTCATAAGCTTCTCTAACAGCCTGCGTGATGCAAAGTCTACACCGCAGCTCCAAAAAATGAAGTTTTCCAGCTGGATGGGGAAAGGGTACCCCCAGTCTCCCAAACTGGGAATTACAATGCAGGCAGATGGCTGAGACAAAAGGGCAGCAGACTGGACTTAAATAGATTTTAAAGTACAAGTAGGGTGACATGACCTGAGGTATTATTTATCTGACGAGTTTTAGACACTGTCTGCTGGATTAAACCCGCCCCCCTTACATAGACACACAAGCAGAGGAGCCGTCCCATTAAGGGGGAATTCCACCAATTTTTCAAAATTTCTGGAATTTTTTCATAATTCAGTGTTTGAGATGTAAACAGACTCATTCAGAGTGGTTTGGTGTGAAATGATTCAGGTATCTTTACAGTGGTGGTGATAGGAACCAGGGGTCGCCATGACTACAACACAAATATAGACATTTTATTTACTATCCAAAACCACCAGTGAACCTACACGAGTCTTCTGAGTTTTACATGGAATGTTGATGAATATATAAGTTAATATAAGTTAATAACAGATCATAAAATATCATAAAACAATGCCTCAGTCATCAGGCAGTGAATTTATAACCATTTCATGTAGTAACTTTCTGTGAGGGAGCTTTTTAGAGGTGGATGTCTGGTTCCTATCACCACCACTGTGAACAGTTCTGACTCTGTAAGTTTCTCTAGAACAGAGCGTTTCACACCAAACCACTCTGAATGACTCTGTTTACATCTTAACCATTTAATTATGCAGAAATTTTTAAAAATGGGTGGAGTTCCTCTTAAAAAGTGCTATGAATCCACAACATTATAGCCAAGCTAAAGAGGAACTTCTAGAGAAGCTTACAGAATTGTTCTCAGTGGTGGTGATAGGAACCAGACGTCCACCTCTAAAAGCTCACAGAAAGGTATTACATTAAAATGCTAACAAATACACAACACCATGCCTGAAACACTTATAACATTTGTTTTTGTATATACTTAGTTTTAGATTATCAACTATTTATTATTTTGTATATACTTAATTTTAGATTATCAACTATTTTCCCATCATCAACATTCCATATAAACTCAGAAGACTCGTGTAGGTTCACTGGTGGTTTTGATCGTAAATAAAATGTCTAAATTTGTGTTGTAGTCATGGTGACCCCTGGTTCCTATCACCACCACTGTAAAGACATCTGAACCATTTCACACCAAACCACTCTGAATCACTCTGTTTAAATCTCATTGTTTATGCTGCATTTTATTTTTCTCCCTACACACTTTTTTGCCATTAACCAAATTTTATATGACTCTCTTTACCTCTTAGAATTAAGCAGGCTGTTTTTGTTACTGTGCCTTTAAGACTCTTATATATGTAAATGAGCTCTGTTCTGATTACCTGCTTTGTTCAAAAAGCCCATGTTGAAACACTCCTTATAACTTCAGTGTGAGTGGGCAGAGCTAAAACCGCTTTAGGTTGATAGAGAAAAAAATGAGTGTTTTGATGTTTATGACATCACAAAACAGGCTAAGTGCCAAGTAATTTGAACTTTCTTCATGTAAAGAACGTTTGTACTCCAATAGTTTCAACTAAATATTGCTTTAAAAAAAGCCACGTAACATTAGTTCTTCAAGTAAATGACGACTTTACTGTGAATATTGCTCAATAGTATATACATACATATATATATATATATATACATATACACATACACATATACATATATATATATACACACACACACATGTATATACATACATACATATATATATATATATATATATGGTATGACAGTGCTTGACACCCAGGTACAGATGCAGAAAACAACAAAATTATCAATGCTAAGTAAATACAACATTTATGAAAAAAGCCCTAAATGATGCCACCTCCTCCGTCGCATCATTTAATGTGACACTACATTCATTTTATGGCTAAATAAGTCAGTGTGACTGATTTTGCTTAATAATGTTTTCATAATTAATCAATGTATTTTGTGTTGATGTAGAAATAAGATATACATTTAAGCAGGGCAAAGGTTTAATGTTAATTCCAGTTTTATTCAGTGATATTTAAATTGGAACTTAAGTTACTTCACAGGCTTAAAAATGTTTATTTATTAAGTTTAGTCAAAATGGCCAAGTACAAGCTCATTTTCAGCCTCACAAAAAAGCAACAACATACAATCAGCAGAAAATTAAAGAGGCCTCAACACCTAATTCTACTATCAGCTGTTTGAGTGTTCAGTGAGTCACTCTTCACCTTTATTCCAGCTTCCATTCTTTTCAGGAGACTCACTTTCAGTTCCTCAAGTAAATCTGCAGACACACCTCCAAAGTTCAGTCTTAGAAGCTGGTTGATCATTTTATGATGTAATAAAACACATTCAGTGATGTTGAGGTCTGGACTCTGGGGTGGTCAGTCCATTGTTCAGCTTCTTTGTTTGATGTGTCCGTCTCCTTTTCTCAGTGAGGTTCTTCTTGAACAGCTACACATCCTTTCAGACCCATAGCGCTGAGTCGTCTTCTCACAGTGGAAGGATGGACAGAAACACCTGTGGATGTTTTCAGATCTGAAGCAGCTTGATTTTCTCCTCTCTCTCAAAGATGAAAGCTTTAAGTGCTGTTTATCTGATGGGGGACAGTTTTGGTGTCTACCAGGTCTTCCAGGTGGTTGTTAGGAGGCACACTTTCTCTGCAGGTTTGATCATCAGTTTCCTGAAGTTGTATGTGAAGCGTGGTCTTTGACTTTTGCACAGTACTGTTTAACTGAAACCGACTCCTTGATATGCAGTGCTTTAAAATTGCTGCTCTATTTGTTACCAACCTCAGGGAAGGACGTTTGGGCGGCTTCATTAATTCATATTTTTGTTTATGTTTGACAGTAAAGATCGTATAGAGATTCATCATAAAGCAAAAAGGAAGACTCAAAGCAGCAAATCCATTTATTTTTTTCCTCCTTTTTCTACATTTAATAATGATGAAAACAAGGCCCTGTACAGTCCACTTCAGTGAGTACAATAACAATTATTTTACAATTTTTACACATTGAGACATGGTGCTCCAGAAGTTCCTTCTTTTGCTAGAAGAAAAAAAAGGAAAAAAAAAACCCTCTTAAAGAACTGCATTGGAAGGACTCCCTACAAAAAAGCTAATATTTAAATTTTACATTTGGCCATGCCAAATCTCAAAAGAAAAAATAAGAGACGGCCAACCCACTTCTTTAATAAACCTTGAAAAAGTTATTCCACCCCTCTTCAAAAAGGCATCCCCCAAAAGCGACTATGGCTCTTACCCAACAACACCAACCTCCGTTTTAAAACCCTCTGCAGGCAGCCGATAGTGTTAAACGACCTGTACAACCGACATGGTGCCACAGACTACAAACACGTTTACACTGACATTGAGAGGGAAAAAAAAGCTTTAAACAAAAAAAACAAAAAAAACAAAACTAAATCTGGGAAGGTGCGCGTATTTCACTGTGAGCTGAATGGTCTTCAGGATCCGTCCCACGCTGGAACGCATCATCACTCTTGTTTTATTTGGGCACTTTTGTTGGATTTCTAGGTTAGGTTTATAGGCTTCCGCGCGACTCTATCACAGTTCTCTCACAGAGACGGACACCTCGTCTACCAGCCCAGAGCCGAATCTCATCCAGCTCTACGGGGGGGGCTTTGGAAGGCTTTTGTGTGAATCGCTAAGAGCTATTTAAAACGAGTCCACACGGAAGGTTAAAGGTTAACTTCTCAGTTTTCCCCAGTAACGATGGAAAAAACAAAACAAAAAGAAAAAAAAAACACCCAAAAAAAGACAACCTCCCACTTCATGCGCATGACCAAGTCCCAAAAATAATGCTCTCTCTCTCTCTCTCTCACTCACTCACTCTCTCTCTCTCACTCCCTTTCACACCACACCAGGTTTTCGTTTGAAATTCACGCCACGTTTATGCTACGTAAGTGTACACTTTGCGATCTTCTGGCGTTCTCGCCAAGTATTCCCTCTCAATAAGTCCTTCAATGCGCTTTTTAATGACCACTGGACTTGGGAGGAACCGTGCCCGCAACTGCTGAGTGACCTGCAGAGAAAGAAAAGAAAAGAGAGAAAACGTTTCAGTCTGACGCAGCACAACCAGTACAACATTACATGCAGTCACATCTGGCTACCAAATGGAGTTTGTTTACTAGATTCAATTTAAATTTGATGACGTTTTCCAAATATATCACAGTATAGGATATTTTGCATTAATAATTTGCATTAATAACGTTAATGAGCCCATGCTTCCGAAGAGCTGCTCAAAGGATGTCTTTCAAACATATAGATATTTTCTTCCAATCTAATTTACAGCCAATCAGTGTGTCCCAATTCAGGGGCTGCGTCCTTCAGAGGCTGCATTTGAAGGCCAAGTGCGTCACATTGGCGCGACTAGGCTGTCCCATTTCGAAGGCTCCTTCATACGTGGCCGAGAAACGGGGTCTTCTTTTCCATGGGAATGAAGGATCCATTGGGTGGGTCCTTTGCCAGCCAACATATCCCGAGGTTCATTGCGTGCCGGCGAGGATTCGACAACATGGCGGCATCAACAGAGAAGCGAACGGCGGCTGAAGAGACACTTTTAAATGGAAGCATTGGGTTGAAACTGAGTGGAATGGCTAACGATACAAACATAAAAAAAATAAAAATAAATAAAAATAACAATCCCATCAGTAGCCGACGGTGAAGCATCTCCAGCTCTAATAAACGAAAAAATAAAAACTAAAATCAGAGTTTCTGGCTCCATCTTTAAAGAACTTCAAAAGAACTTCACAGGAGTGGTGTTCTGTGATACAGCGGTAAGGACAGAAACAGCTATGCTGTGACGCAAACAGGAAATCCGCCGTAGGGCAGACCATCTCATTTCAGTTCAGCTTTCACGGGTCTAAGCAGCCTTTGTAGGCAGCGTCCTTCAAAGGATCCAGCTCCTAAATTGGGACACACTAAATTTGATTGTGTCCGGTTCAACCCGATAGCTCCCTCAAATCACCGCAGCTACTAAGCTGGGAGGGGCAAGGCACGAGAAATGTTTCTGTTGTTTGGTGAAGTTCACTGGTTTTAATTTCAAACATCCCCTCAGGGCAATGTTATTATTGCTTATAATGAGCTACACCAAATATTAAAAGCTTTTTATTTTTTCGCCCCAAAGAGTGTTTATTAGTTAGATTTATTATTATTATTATTATTATTAGGAACAATAAAATTGACACTTTTATCCCAAACGTGGCATGTCTGGTGTCTAAAGTTTGCTTCTGTAGTTTTGTATTGGAGCTTCTAAAGCCCATGTGTCAAATACAAGATCAGGCCCACCACACAATCCTATCCGGCCCACAAAAGTAGTTTGATTTTCTATTAATATTAGCCTGTTTCACAATGCGCTGCACTACAGTCCCCAGCATGCACTGCAATGTAATGTGTGCTCTGACTCTCCGACCCCAACAACAGTCTATGGGATGGTTACACCTCAGTTCTACACAATTCCACACCAGTCATATCACCAAATGCATTTCAGCTGCAGTTTAATCAACATAAACACCAAATGTCAGCTCAGCAGCTCAGAAATTGAGCCCAAGTTATAATAAACTTGCAGCAAAGAGAGGATGCCGGGTGTCTAGTTCAAGCAAATAGGTAGGTTTAAAAGACTGAGCACCTGGGGACATTTAAATTTTAGATATTTTAAGTGTCCATGTAATATTTTAAGGTCTCCTACAAGTGTTTGTATTTTACTGCTGGAGTTTTTGCATATTTTGAATAAACAGTGATCAGTTCGGGTCACAGCACAACATTAATTAAAAATAAAATAAAGATTTTTTTTTTTCTGGCCCACAGATTTGTTGAGATTTTTTAATATGGCCCTTTTACTGGTTGAGTTTGACACCCCTGTTTTAAAGTCTACCTCACCGCAGTCATTTCAGGTAACACAGACTCTAATAGTAACGCTAAACAAGCAAACTTCAGACGCTCAACATGTCTTAGCCGATCGATTACGTCCAGGATAAGGAGAAAACAGTGTAAATTAGATTTTCAACTTGCAAGTTCCCAAATTTGTGTACTGTAAAGCACTTATTAACCTCTGCTACTAGCACATTGTGCTGCATCTTCTTCCTGGACTTCATGATGCGGACGATTGCCGCTTCGATCTCATGCTTCCTGTCGTCGTCCACTTTCTGCCGTGTCTCCTTCCTCTCGGGGTCCGATTCACCCTGCTTAGCAGCAACTGTGGAACCATGAGAAAAGCATGGAGTGAGATGTGTATGGAAAGGTTTGTCACATTGAAATTCAAAAACCAAGCATTCGAGATAATAATGGATAAAAAATCCTTAGCTTGGGGCTACATTATAAATACTGCATCACAAATACTGCTTTGGAAGAGTATGCAGAAGTAGAAAAGGTACAAAAGGTACATACATCTACATATATTTACACATATCTTCGATATGCCATCACACAATATACATTACAATAATAACCATTAAAATGTTTTGATAAGCTGGAAAAGACATTAAAGGCACAAGTGACAAAATAATTTCTAAAAACTAAATTCAAACACAACTGATTATATATATCTCTTTGTAATAAAACATGCAGCCAGTTGGTGCCTTTTAAGAACTAGTGTTATCCACAATATGCTCAGAACAGCATGTTGTGACGTAGTTTATCACACTAGTGATGAAATATCATAAAAATCGCCCACCTGGATGAGCTTTAAAGATATGTTTGCTGTTCCACTGCATTGAGCTAAGCTTTAAAACATATTTCAAAGTTCTACTACCCTTCACCACGTATCTGTGGCATATCTATATGGGGACTGTTTTTTCTGCCATAACCCAACCAGGTCACAATATTAAGGACAAAACTTGTTACTCTGACCTGATATTGTCAGCTTTTACTTCAGACTTACATGCTCAGCAAAGACAGACAAGGGCAGGTTTGAATCATACAGCACAAAAATATTAATAGACTAAAAGCTGCAAGTTCTTGCATTAGTTTCACAGTAGTTACTGAATAATTTACAATAATAACTGCATTTAAATGCAATGTCTGTGGTGGCCCGAGGGCCAAAAAGAGAAAGCAAAATAGAAATTAAAATATTATTCAGTAACTACTGTAGGTTTCAGAGTTTGATAACATTCCACTACATTTTGTTAACGAAATATTTCAAAAATAAAAATGGAAATGGAAAATATGAATTTAATAAGTTACATCAAGCACTAAAATACGTTTGTTCTATAACTGGATGAGGGGGGTGGGGTTATGGCAGCTTTCTGGCAGGCCAAATAAAATGCCTACACAAGTTTTTAAAATTATGATACGCCTTGACTTTATTTTCTATAGCAAACCATGTTCTAAGGATTGAATACAAGGATATAATCTGTCTATCTTTACCTGTCTGAATCTTTACTCTATGCAGTTTGGAAGTGAACTGGTCGTTGACAGTGAATACGTGGCCGTTCTCTATCTCCTTAGACTTGGGCTCCTTAGTGAGCACTCGTTGGGTGGGCTTCCCACACGCAAGAGACTGCAGCGCCCGCACCAGCTCTCGCTCCGGGATGTCCGTCTCCTGCTGGATCTCCTGCAGAGACAGAAAGAAAGCGTATGAGTGAGGAGCTGCTTTACTTTTGGGGAAACTGTCTCCTGACGTTACATCTGAATCACATTAATAAATACCTCAAAGGTTGACTTCTCTCTGTTGTTGAAGAGCATCAAGATGGTCATCTGGAAAGTGGACACCTGCAGAATGTGCTTTCTGGTGTTGGAGCCGGTCACCTGGGCGCCACCCACACCCATGTCAGAGCCATCCTCCTGGTGAGGAAGAGGAAGATGAGAGGTTAACAGAGAACAACATCAGGGCTACAGATTTAACATAGAAAAGACAAACATGAGATGCACCAAATGCAAAATGTTTCAAAGGAAAAAATATTTCCTGGATTATCAACATAAAAAACCTCAAGAAATAATATGCAAACAAACAAACTGAGTTCAGTATTTCTGTAGATATATATCAACTAACAACGTTCAAAAAGAATTTAATACCAGTAAGAGATTTTAGGTCAACTGTTCAGCTGTTCTAAGCCTGAGAGCAAAAACACACACATTTCTGTCCAAAAAGTCAATAAGTCACAACAAATAACAAACAAAATAAAAAAGGACAAATAAGCTTTAAGTTAAAAAGAAAATTTACTTTAAAATTAACAAATGACTACAGACTGTAATAAAGTCAAATATGTCTTTGTTTTACTGTCATGCTTTAATTAGAAACAGTTAAATTCTGAATTGTAAAGCTCCACTGTTATGTAAAATTATTTTTATTATTTATTTATTTTTGTCTAAGACCCAATCCCATTTCTTATTTTTACCCCTATCCTTTGTTTTCAATTGCAACCTTGGAGCCCACCCCTAATTCTTCAGTGATATGAAGCTGAAGTCAGATATTCACCAGCTTCTTGTTCGAATTTCCCATTCCACCTTAAATGGTGCAGCAGGTTTGATGCCTGAGGTGCCAGAATGTAAATGAATGTAATAATTAAGGTGGAACAGAAAATTTAGCTAGCTACCGAGACATCAGCACTACTAGCAATTTTTTATGCTTGTTATGAAGAAAAGGACCATAATACACTGAAATGACATTAAACCAAGACCAAACAATTGTTATTATAATTTTTTACAGAAGAAAATTCTCACATTTGTGGGTTTCTTTGGTCTCTTGCGCAGCCATCTTACTGTTTTTTCTTTTTTTCACATAACTCTCTGTTTGGACTGTGTCTCTATAAACCTTTGGAGGGTCATGTAGCCCTAACCCTTCACCCTACCCCTCTATCTCAACAACAGTCGGGACACTCTACTCCTAGACATGAACTTCGCAAAACAGAGGGCTAATGGCTAAGTGGTAGGGTCAAGGGGTGAAATGGGATTGGGCCTAGATGGTAATATGTTTTATTTACTCCTAAAAGATAGAAAAATCACAAAAAAAGATAGAAAAATCAGAAAAAAACTGCAGACATGGCTTTTGGTGCTATTATAACGCAAATATCCAACAGGAGCTCATGAACATGAGTGTCCAGTAACCCTATAAACGTTTGGGGACAGTTTTCAAAGTGATGTTAAGCCTTATTTACAATGTACTTACTATTTTTCATTAAACTAGTTAACAATAAAAAAGCACATACGCTAAAAATAACATAGAAAGTAGGTCTAAGTTGCAGTAGATCTTATGTGTATGTTATTTTTAACAAGAAAATATTAAGCTCTTTACATTTGTAGAATCACCCAGTTCTATCAGTCACTAATACCTTTTTGATTGGCCCATAGAAGGTGGCATTGAGGTCTGCAGAGCCCATGTGGTGCTGCAGTGTGAGCTGCCGGCCGCTGTGCTTGGCCAAATAAAACCTGAAGAAACCCAGAGAGAATCAATGTACCTCATACAGAATCGCACTCTCCACAGTCTCTAGTGTTTCACTTTGAGTAAAAATGATAATGCTATTTTTGGAAATAAATAAGACAGGAACAATTTCCTTTCCAGTTACAACACTGGTGTATATACCTTCTAAACACCTCGAATGCGTGTCGTGGTGATGGAGGGATGTTACACTTGGGCGTGGCGGACTGAGTGGGCCAGTAACCTGTCGTCAGCACCCTGACGGTGAGGTCAACACCACCCAAGGAGACCTAGAAAGAAAAAAATGACATCACTATTCGGCAATCTTTCTGCAGAATTCCAATAAAATAAAAATTAATATCTTCTATCAGGCTGGGATTTCGTTGCAGTGCCTCTTCTGTTGTACATCATTACTTGGGTGAGCTAAGCAGTGAGAAAGTGCTCTTTTTCTTACCCCCGTTGACTGTAGATGCTGCCGGAACTCATCCATGGTTGTGTTTGAGATACTCATGTCCCTGAACATGCCTTCCAGTTTGGACGTGAACTGACAGCCGCACTCCGTCTGCAAAACAGCACACAGCCAGAGAGATATCTAGTCAGATTTACAGTGCAGAAATACCTTTTTTCTTATTTAATTTACAATCAGAAAAGCAATTAAGTCCAAGTTCTTCATTTTTCAGCATCACAAGAAACAACAGAAAACATAATTAACAGATGATCACAGAAAAGCCTACATTAAATATAATATCAAATTTCCGAGTATTTAGTGTGTCCACTCCCCTTTGCCTTTATTACAGCTTTTGTTCTTCCTAAGAACCGGCAAAGATACTTTTCCACACCTCCAAAGTTCAGTCTTAGAAGCTGGTTGATCATTTTCTGAAGTAATCAAACACATTTAGTGGTGCTGAGGTCTGGACTCTGGGGTGGTCAGTCCATTGTTCAGCTTCTTTGTTTGGTGTGTCCGTCTCCTTTTCTCAGCGAGGTTCTTCTTGACAGCTACACATCCTTTCAGACCATAGCGCTGAGTCGTCTTCTCACAGTGGAAGGATGGACAGAAACACCTGTGGATGTTTTCAGATCTGAAGCAGCTTGATTTTCACCTGTCTCTCAAAGATGAAAGCTTTAAGTGCTGTTTATCTGGTGGGGGCAGTTTTGGTGTTTACCAGGTCTTCCAGGTGGTTGTTAGGAGGACCATTTTTGGAAGCTGCTATTTTTCCTACTTATTATCCTTCGACTGTCTCCTTCCTTTCTCAAGCGGATTAACTTATATCTAATCTCCCAAGAAACATCTCTCTGACAAATTTGTACTTAATGGCTGTTTGACTGTAAATTAATTAAATGAAGTGCGGACTCTGACTCTGACGTCTGTCGCTCAAATGACAAATATCACGTATTCCAGGAAGCGGTGTCGGCACTAAACCATGTTTTTTGTAGCTCAACTGTACCTTAATTTTTAGTTATGTGGCAAAATATGTTGATACTACACTGTATTTGTAGCTACTGTGTTTATATAGTTCACCAACGTTCCAGCTTTATGTAATTTTCAATCTTTCATCAAAAATGTTGGTGAAATGATTAGAGATTAAAAATGTTTTGACCCAGCATATGATGTAGTTCTGTACTTTCCCTCCACACAGTTCAGCACAACAGTAGATGTGAATGGTCAGAACTTGCCTTCAGCTTTGAGATCATGTTCTTCTCAGAGTCGTCAGAGACGCTCTTGTTGGTGAGAAGCCTTCTGGCCAGGTGCTGTTTGTAATAGCGCTCAAACACATCCTTCTCCTGCATGAACCTGAACAGCACCATGGCTTTATCCAGGATGGACTCCACTTCTTGCTCTGTCAACTATGGGAGAGAAAAAGACAAAAGGTTTGAGAACACCGCTGATACCTTTTCTGCAGTAAATTCATATAAACCTAAAGCCACTCTACTTGCCTATGCAGTATAATAGTGGTTCATAACTAGAGATGCACAGATACGGGAACTGTATGTGATGCCTATTTCTAATATTTAGCATCTTTCCATGCGAAGGGATAACAGCTGGTTGGCAAGATAGTTCCTAAATTTAACATACTTTTTCAGATGTACCATTATTCTACCATTCTCAAAATTATATATAACAGAAATATATATACACTGATCAGGCATAACAAAACCTTGTTTCTACGCTCATTGTCCATTTTATCAGCTCCACTGTGTTGTGCTGGTCTGAGTGGATCAGACACAGCAGTGCTGCTGGAGTTTTTAAAACACCTCATTGTCACTGCTGGACTGAGAATAGTTCACCAGCCAAAAATATCCAGCCAACAGCGTCCTGTGGGCAGCGTCCTGTGACCACTGATGAAGGACTAGAGGATGACCAACACAAACTGTGCAGCAGCAGATGAGCTGACTTTACATCTACAGGGTGGACCGACAAGGTAGGAGTGTCTAATAGAGTGGACAGTGAGTGGACATGGTGTTTAAAAACTCCAGCAGAATTGCTGTGTCTGATCCACTCAGACCAGCACAACACACACTAACACACCACCACCACGTCAGTGTTACTGCAGTGCTGAGAATGATCCACCACCCAAATAGTCCCTGCTCTGTGAGGGTCCATGGGGGTCCTGACCACTGAAGAACAGGGTAAAAGGGGGCTAACAAAGTATGCAGAGAAACAGATGGACTACAGTCTGTAATTGTAGAACTACAACGTGCACCTATATAGTAAGTGGAGCTGATAAACCAGTTCACACTGTGTGGACAGTGAGCATTACAAGGTTAGTGAACTGTATGAAAGTATGGGTCTCTAGAAGCTCAGTGAGTCAGTGGTGAAATAAAAGAACATTAGCTTGGTCATCTTTACACAACCACAAGGAAGTAGTTTAGTCTAGTTTAGACTTTTTATTTCACATCGATAAAGATATATAACGCATGGGCGCTGGCCGGGTTCAGAGGAAAGAGCTGACTCACTCCTTTCACGCCCTTCTTCAGCTTGTCGTCAATGAAGAGTGAGAGGTACTCGGGCGAGCGGGGGTTCAGGTTGAGGAAGTATTCAAAGTCACCAGCTATGGTCTGCTTGAACAGGCGGTCGTTATTGAAGGACTCCTGCAGGAAGCGGTCGAAGCGAGACTTTAGGTCCAGCAAGCCCTGTTTGAGAGAGAGAAAAAGAGAGATCTTTAAGAAACTGGACCGCACAGCTCAAAATGCACGAGTTAAACTCAGGAGAACATTCAAAATTGGAGATAATTCCCTAAGACTAAGCTTTCTATAGTAAGTCCTTCGGCCTGGTTGCTTATACCTGGATGTAGTCCACTGGATTCTTGCCCTCTCCCTCCTCAGACACCAGAGCCTTGCCCTGCTCCCGCAGGTAGGAGCTCATGCACTCACACATTGTCTTCAGACCATTTGGCACCCTGCTGAACAGCTTATACATACACGCCAGGTCTGCAGAAAAACAAAACAAAACATAAACGGTCAGCATCACAATACCACAACAAAATTGTTTATTTACTGTTATTGCTCCTTAAAGCAACACTATGTAACAAGTTTACCTTAAAATAAATTCAAAATCATTTATGATGATATACTGACTTACAATAGGGAGAACTTCCACTCCTAGCCTGTTATAGTCCTATGTAGCTTTGGAGGAGCAGGCACAAGACCTCAAAAAAAATTGCATAATGCTTTATGGCACCATGTTAGCTGTATTGATCTGTCTCACAGCTAATGGGAAAACAACAAAAATCTGACAGCAGAGTGTTCAACCTTGCCAATGTTATTTATGAAACACTGCGACGTAGGCTGTAACCCTCTCCGTCATTCCTGTCCTATGGAGTAAATCAACATGGTCGTGTCTCTTCTGATGTTGTCTTTGCTAGTGTTGTGCCGAATTCTGGCCTTCAGGCAGAATCCCACTTCTCTTCGGCCTAATTCCATTTCACCCCTTGCCCCTACCACTTAGTGCTTGGCCCTCTGTTTGAAGTGTTCTACACGGCCCTCCAAACGGAGGAGAGGTGTTCTACACGGCCCTCCAAACGGAGGAGAGGTGTTCTACACGGCCCTCCAAACGGAGGAGAGGTGTTCTACACGGCCCTCCAAACGGAGGTTTTTCAGAGACTCCAAACAGAGTGTTATGAGATAAAAAGAAAAACTGGCAAGATGGCTGAACAAGAGACCAAAGAAACCCACAAATGTGAGAATCTTCTCTGTTAAAAATTACGATAACCACTGTATTATCTTAGTTTAATGTTGTTTCAATGTGTTATGTTCTTTTTCTTGTCAACAAGAAAAAAACGCTAATAGCACGCTCGTATCTCGGCAGCTAACTTTCCCGTTCCATTTTAAATAGTCCAGCACTGTTGATGCCTGAAGCGCCAGAATGTAACTGCTGCACCATTTAAGGTGGAACGGGAAAAAACAAGAAACTGGTGAATATCTGACTTCAGCTTCATATCACTGAAGAACTAGCAGTGGGCGATAATAAATAATTGCCCCCTCTTTAAAGGCATAAGATGCCCTAAATGTAACTAAAGCCCAGCAGTGAGGAGCTGAACTTTACCCTCCTCTGCTGTCACTGAAGACGGGCTGGGTCACCTACAGAGCAGTGCTAGTAGCTGATAATGAAGCAATGTTTTTTTTTTTTGTTTTTTTTTGAGGGTCCCATTTCGTAGGGCAAGATTTCAACCACTACCCCTTGTAACTCAGATTACACTCACAATTTCGGTTAGTTACCCATAGAATCAACCAAAACTGAGTGTAATTTGTCGCATCCATATGCCTGTGTGACACACGTGCATGCGGAGCGGATTATGTGTTCTTCAGCTCAACAAATGCATGTGTGCAGCTGTCCATGATGGGGCACTCAAAGCGCAATGTTAGCATTCCTTCTGACCGGTTAACACTTTCTTCTGACCTTCTCACACTAAGACTCGTTAACATTTTGAATAGTAAAGTATGTTTGTATTTACATGAAGTGAAACACACCCCGCAATACCAATACTTGCATAATGCTAATAAATGCTAAGTAGCTGATGAAAATGGTTGAATGTTTGCAAATATTCCTATATGATTAGAACTCTAATAAACCCAAAACAACCTCTTTTGTTTGCTTCTGGTAAACTACAGCATGTTCTTCCTTCTGACCATCTCGCACTATAAGACTTGTTAATATTTTGAGTTGTAAAATAAACATGCTTGAAAATTTTAAACACGGTCACAGCATTTTAAAAATATAAGGTCAAACTGTCTTCACATCTGAATGGCCAAATACTTACAACACATTCCACTCATTTATATTTTAGAAGTGTCACTGATTGGCGGTGTGGGAGCTCACTAATAAGTGCTGCTAATAGAAAGACATCAAAAATCTGAGACAGGGAAAAAGTCTGCAAAACTCAGCATCATAGCGGCTCAAAAGCTCCACTAACCACAGAACATACTTGATTTGGGCTTTCTAAAGCCAGTCACTCGACTCTGCGACCTCTGATGTCCTCTGAAGGGGGGGTCATTTTAGCTTCAGTTAGCTGGAACCGAGACTGTACTGTGTGACACGTTTGGTTCAACACCAGCCAATTTTACTCTCTCAGACATTAGTTTTCATCATCTACACTTGTGTCAGTAGAGCAGCACTCAGTCAGAATAAAACCTGTACTGTGCTGTGTGGCACTACTGTAGCTGCAGCTGCTTGAATTCACTCCCTCAGACGTAAATCATTATCATCAAAACCAGTGTCGGTGCTTTAGTTTAGCTGTGGTAAGCACAGTGCTGTGATCGACTAGTAAATGGGGGGGTCTACTTCTGCAGTTTCTTCCCTACTGCAGTGTTTAAATGACACTTAGCAAATGCCTCACTTATTATCCTTTGTGTTTTGTGCTTAACTCCCCCCATCAAGGGAAGTGAGATTCAGCCCACTGGTGAATCCGTAGTGCGCATCCAAAACTGAAGTCCTGGCGCTGCTACTGGTTATGAGCGTCCGTTATTTGTTAGCTACATCACACACCAAAATCTCAATTATGAACAGATAGTACTGGTTTTAAAATCTGGCTGAACCACATTTATAACCGTGGTAAAGTACTTCATATCTGCAAGCATCAACTGAACTCTGAGACAGTAAAAAGTAGAAACTGGAACTAAATCCACCTGGATTGTAATCAGCAATACAAAGAAATATAACATTTACTTCTGGAGGGTTACAAATGCAGTAAGAACGATCAGATATTTAATTCAGTAACCCAGCATCACCTAAGCGTTCTGCTCTGACTGAATGCAGTTGGAGTAAGAAGAAATGTGCAATTCCTTTTACATAATTTAAAGAAACCACGTTTCTGACTCAAGAGTCAAACAACGAAACCATAAAATAAAAAAAAACCCACTGAAAGCCATGTCTTGACCGTACCTTCCGTCTTTCCATTCTTGAGCATGTGGACGAGGCCCGAGTTCTCCATTTCAACGATGGTCTTCATGTGCTTGGAGATGAGTTCCCGTTCCACCACCTTTACAATGGGCTCCTCCGTCGACTTATCCAGGCAGTGCATCACCCGCTCAATCTCTTCGTTTATCCGCGCCTCGACTTTCTTTATGTACACGCTCGCGCTGTTCTCCGCCAGAAACTTCTGACTCTCCATCTGACGACGCAGAAAAGACAAAGACTGAAAAACTACCCGGAGAACATTCAGAAACTCTATGATCAAATAATTATCCAGGAGACCGAATTATATGTGACACTGTTCGATAAGTCTCTACAAACCTGGAAGAACTCTGCAGACATTTCTAAGAATGGAGCCTCAAAGTCCTCTTCATAAACTGACCGGCCTTCGAGGCCTAAGATCATTAACATCTGGCAGGCATTACGTATGGCCCCCCTGATAAAGGAAAAACATTCACTTCAAACTTAGCTGCTTACAGGGTATCTTTAATATGCTGTGGTGCTTCTTCAAAGAATATGATCACAACACGTGTCAAACACAGGGCCCACGGGCCAAGTCAGGCCCGTGACACAGTCCTATTCAGTCCGTGAAGTTATTTTAATTTTCTATTCTTATTAGCCTGTTTCACCCTGAAATGCACTACATTCCCCAGCATGCACTGCAACATAGTGTGCGTTCTGACCCCCTTCCCCAACAACACTCTATGAGCCAGCGCTTACACAAAAAGAAAAGATGGCAGGCATCTAGTTCAAGCAAACAGGTAGTTTTAAAAATACTACCTAAAACATTTTATTTTTATTTAGAATTATTTTTGAATAAGTATTTAATGCTTATTTGTGCTGATGCAGTTTTGGCCTATTTTGAATAAACAGTGGCCAGTTGGGGTCATGGCAAACTGTTGAGTAAAAACGAAATAAAAACACAACTTGCCCACAGATTTGCTGGGATATTTTAATATGGCTCTTTTAGTGGTTGAGTTTGACACCCCTGGTTTATGGGAAAGGAGCAATGACTTGGGTATTAACTTTCCCTGGTGCCAACTGGATGTTTTAGATACCAAAAATGTCTTTGGTGATTCACTAAATTTAAAGTAAACTCTGTAAATTTGAACTATTTCTCAAAATAATGCAAACAACACAAAATGTAATCTACTGCAAACTCAAGTGAACCGTATCCGATATTTCTGAAAGGTAATTTCAGGATCTTTTTCAGCATTGGATCTCACCTGTCCACCACCTCTCCCTTTCTCTCCCTGGCGATCATATCTAGCAGCGTTTGTCTCAGGTGGTCCCGAATGCAGCCGTAACGGACCACCTGGTCCCGGAAAATGATGAGACCTAAATTATAGACGTTTTCCACGTTGTTCTGCTGCACATACACTCGGTCCTGTGGGGAGAGAGCAAGAGAGAGAGAGAAAGAGAGAGGTGTGATCCTCATTGTTCCTTTTAATCAAAACAAAAGACCACAGGGCAGCTACTGAGAGGACCTCACCATGTACATCAAGATATCTCGGATCATCACCATAGCTGTCTGGTGGTCGTTCCAGGCTTGGTTCAAGGTTTGAAGGAAGTTGTTGTTCAGGGAGTTTAGTACATCATCCCGCACCTTCAAAAGATAAAGGATATGTACATCAAAAAAACCTATGCCATGCAATGTATGTACAAAAGAATCCAGACTGCCCAGTGAATTCAGCAACTTTAAGGTCACTCACTGCTGACACAGCTTGTATAATCTCCATAGAAAAGGACTGACTGATAGAATCAGGTGCTCTGGAGCAGCTGCACATGAACCTCAAGTCACCATGTCACAATGCCAAGCGTGGTCTAGAGGGGTATAAAGCCCCCCAGCATTGGGCTGTAATGCAGTGGAACTGTGTTCTCTGGAGTGATGGAGCTTCATCCAGTACCGTTGGGGTTGAGTTGGAGTGATCCAGAACTGACCATCCAACCAGTGTCTGATTGGGACAGTAATTTTGGCCAATTCCTCTAACTGATACCTGTTAGCCTGCAAGCCTAAAATCAAGGATGCAACCAATCGAAATCTGAATTATAAAACAGATAGTTCTGGGTCTGAAATCTGATTGGCTGAGCCACATTCAAAACTGTGGTAAAATACCTGAAATCCACACACAGCTGAATTCTGACACATTAAATAGTAGAAACTTGAACTAAATTCACCTGAGAATATAACTAAGAAAAATACAGGGTGATTCAAAAAGATTCGTCCGATTTCAAAGCACTATATTTTCAAAACCATGAGGCGTCTAGGAGCCAATCACAATCCAATTCAAAGAAGGGGTCATAGAGTTTCTGACAGTCACCGTAAGATGGCTCCCTTCAGTCTGTGAGGAGATGAGACCCCTGAGCAGAAAGCGTTCTGTGTTCTCCACTTCAATAAGAGTGAATCCGTCATAACTGTGCAGCATGATTTTCGTGAGCAGTGAACCTCCAACAGCTCAGAGTGTTCGTTGTTGGTTCCACATCACTGAGTGATCTCCGAAATCGCACTGAAAGAGCCGCGAGTGCAGCAACACCCAACATGCTCAATCGAGTATGGGATGAATTTGACTATGGTGTTGATGTTGTCCGTACAGCTGGAGGAGGTTCATATTGAGCACTTGCACAATTACATAAACTTTATGCTCAATGAAACCATTTACAGTTCACTGCATTGATCTGTAATGATTTACAAGTGAAATAAATCATTTTGAAATCGGATGAATCTTTTTGAATCACCATATATAAGATGTATGTCTAAATATTTAACCCTGAGGAAAGTTAAAACAATCAGATATTTTAGCTCAGCATCCCAGCGTCACCTTAACATCCTGCTCTTCTGGCATAAAATAAATACATCATCAACTATAAGTTTAAAATATTGGCCAAATTTAAACTTCTGTGCCATTCTGATATTATTCTTTAGCAAATATCTGCCGAAATCAAAATAATTCTGATGTTATTGTGTATAGCTATGAAAAAGTCTTCTTTGTATGGAATGTATGTGCATCAGTGTGTATATGAAGTATACAGCTTTAAACATACCACACAGAAAACCTAGTTCTGTTTAAACCAAGGGGCTCAGAACTATAAAGTGTTCATGATTATGTGAGCAAAAACGAACTGGAACATATCGTCACTGTCCAAAGAAAAACATGTACCTCCATTTTTTGCGATTTTTACTTTTCTGTATCATTTTAGCTCAACAGCTGTCAGTTACATTGTGTGAACATTTTATGATGATTGGACCAATAGAAATGCTCCAAGATTGCTTAGAATAAAAACTCTTTCCACTAACTTACATTGAAAGTAAAGAACGATTCTGCCCTTTCCTGTAAAGTTGTTATTTTGGAGATACTTGTTTTTCATTGGACAGAGACGATATAAGGACAGTCTACTGAAAGCTTTTTAGTCTCAAGTTATATATATCATTCATAACACACATAATTGCCATGACCAGTTCTAGCTTTGGCTCAGTGAGCTTCACTAGCTCTACAAAGTCGTCGTCATCCACCAAGCCCTTCTATATAACTTTATCGATTTAACAATTTCCAAATTGATCAACAAACCTGCATATACAAACCAAAACTATTGTTTTGAGGGAAATAACAAAATTAAATTAATGTTTTTAAAAAACAGCAAAGGTTGCAACATCTAGTGTAAAGCCTTTACAGAAGAGTCGAGGCTGTTACTACAGCAAAAGGGGACAAACTCTCTATTAATACCCTTAATTTCAGGAAGGAGCAGGTGAAGGAGTGGGTATCTACAAATTTCTGAACATACAGTGTGTCCTAAATGCATTTTCCACTACACAGAAAAATCAAATCATAACTCCAGATCCTACAGGGTCAAAAGAAGGAGCTTCCATAAACTGCATTTCACAGATGAGGCAGCACCATATCTGCTCCCGCTGATGAGGCAGGTCCGATGCACCTGCAGAACTGCTTAACGCAACTTTCAAAACTCGCATGGAGGATCGTTTGTCATCTAACCGAGCTCAAACTCCGCACTCCAGTCTCTTACTTTGTTGATGAGGTGCTCGGTGACAACCTCCCGCAGGCCCGTGTAGAGCTTCTCGCCGTGTTTGTGCAGCACCATGGTGTAAGCGTTCCTGTACAGCTCCTCGAAGCTCAGGCCGCTGTTGTTCTTCCGCTGGATCTCCTGGATGGCGTTCTTGAGGAGGTCCCAGATGTTGTTGACGTACTTCTCGTCCATCGTCATCTGAGAGAGAGAGAGAGAGAGAGAGAGAGACGGACAGACAGACAGAGTATATGCACGAGAGAGAGAAGGAGATATAATAGATACAAAAGCAAAGAGTGTGTGTAGAGAGAGGAGAGAGAAGAGAAAAAGAAAGATGGGAAAAAGAGGGAGAGGGAAAAAGAGAGTAGAAGAGAAAAGAGAGAGGGGGAAAGAGGGAGAGAGAAATGAGGTAGGAGGGGGTGAGAGGGGGTGAGAGAGAGAGAGAGAGAGAGAGAGAGAGATGGGAAAAAGAGGGAGAGGGAGGAAAAAGGGAGAAGAAGAGAAAAGAGAGGGGAGAGAGAGGGGAAAAAGAGAGAGAGAGAGAGAGAGAGAGAGAGAGAGAGAGAGAGAGAGAGAGAAATAAGCTACATACATATATACATATTGCTGTTGTTGTAAGAAAACCTCGACTTTACAGGAGAAGGAAAAAACATACTTTACTTTTAATGTAAGTCAATGGAACCAGATGTTTTTCCAAGTCATTTTGGGCCGTTTCTGTTGGTCCATTCTTCATTACACAATGTAAAGGGCAACAAACTATGTCAAATTATGTCAAAAACTGAAAAACGACAAAAATGGAGATTTTCTCGTAAAGTTTGCAGAGAAACAGATGGACTACAGTCTGTAATTGTAGAACTACAAAGTGCACCTATATAGTAAGTGGTGCTGATAAAATGGACAATGAGCGCAGAAACAAGGAGGTGGTCATAATGTTATGCCTTATGTATTGATTGTAAAGCGTCCTTGAGCATGGGAAAGGCGCTACATAAAAGTGATGATGATGATAATCGGTGTATGTGGTCGCACGCAAAAGTTTGGGTGCCCCGGTCAAATGACATTTGTTGAGTTTAGTGAAAATAAGTGAACACATCCTCTACAGAGACACACTTCTGCACATTTTAATGCAAAAGTGCTGTTTATTTGCTGAATATAACCAACATAAGTTGAAAAAAGTGGTCTGTGCAGTTACGGCATATAGTTTTGTGCTTTATCCTAATATCTTGATGTTACACTCAGCAAATAAATAGAAATTGTTCACAAATGAGCAAAAATACCATATTTAAGTGTTCTCCCTGTAGATTGTGTTACTTAGAAAAATCAACCGAACGTGTCACGTGACTGAGGGCGTTCAAACTTTTGTGCAACTGCAGTGATTATGAAACAGGAGTGTTTCTGCTGCCAAGCAGTTTTAGTTTTTACTTTATTTTATTTTGTGCACTTTAGTTGTGGTATCTATGGATTCTTGGAACGTTTTTCATTTACTGGGGGCTTCAGACTGTTTTGAAAAACGTAAAAAATTGTTTAAAAGCTTTAAAAATGAAATAAATAGGAAGTTTCCTTTCTGTGAACATGTTTTCTGAATGATTAGCGTCTCCTACACTGTGTAAGGTTTCCTTTGGTGCAATTTCAAGAGAAGAAAATAGGTCAAAACAAACTCCGTCAAATCTGTAATTTATTAAGGCTTGTTAACCCTCTATTGCATGATGTTGCCTCAGGACAACAAACTCATTTTCCTCACTTTACAATAACGTTATACATATTTAAAGACAACAATATGGTTACGAATAAAGGGAGTCTGAGTCAATAAAAAGCATGGTCATACTCTGTCTTAGTGAGCACTTTTAAACCTAAGTTCAGTATCAATTTTTTTTGTTATGTGAATTTGCAGAAATATGTTTGTGGCTTAGAGGCAACTACAAGTAGAATGGATTTAGCCAGTCACAAGCCAGGTCTCACCACTTCAGGGAACACAACTCTATATCATTTCTTCCCATTGTCACACAATGTTGCCTAAAGGCAACATACTCCAAAAGGACCCCTGTACACGTTATTATTATTATTTTTTTTATGTTTGAATTTAGTAATCATGTCCAAAAAAATTAATCAAGGATCATTTTATGCATGTAAAGTGAACTGAATATTATTTTTTTGCTCTTATAATGCATGCAGTAGAGGGTTAAGTTCTTACAGCACAAAGTAGCAGCATTAATGAAGAACCGGCTCATTAACTTTTATTAATTAAATTACTTTATTAATCAAAATTTATTAATGCTCCTTTAAATATCATCGGATAAGATATATTCAGAAATGATTGCGATGTTAGTCAATATCACCCAGTACGAAGACCTGGTTACACAGGAAGCAAAGGGGACACATTTTCTGACCCAAGATCTTATTTGTTCAGCAGAACTTAACATAAAACTGTGGCAAAGCCGACTGAAAGGCAAACTACGGCACGTTACATGTCAGTACTGTTCACGGGAACTTAGTTTCAGGAAAAATAGGGTGAAGTGGTTCAGGTGAAGTATTGTGAAACCTGTCAGTTTCACAGTTTGAGAGCCAAGAAAGCAAAGTGTATCACTAGAAACAGTTCACACCGTCAAATTCTTTCACTCCTAGATCCTTATTTGTTCTCTGTATGATGTTGAGTTTTCTGTCCTGAAAGACGCATGTTAAACGCCACATAGGCAGAAGTTGCAGTACGTAATGAGCAACGACTGAGGCTGCATCCAAACCTACATATTACCATAAAAAACAGCACCGCACCATCAGAAGTGCATTCATCAGAATAGTAGTACAGTAGTATAGCAGTATGTGGTTCTAGATGCAGCCTGCACGCCTTAAATCTCTGCACTAAACGCATTCATGACAGTAATAACATTTTTATATCTGATAATGCTGATAACGCTGGGTGACATAGCGTCTATTCCAGTATACATTGCTTTTCAGTTACAGTGACGCCACTAATATAGTTAATAGATAATGAACATTGTGCCCATTTTCTTTTGTGCAATTTATAAATGCTCTCCAAGATTTCACAACAATGTTTGTCATATGTCATCTGAGATCTTCAGATTGTTTTGATATGCAAGTTTTCTTTCTATAAAAAGTGTTTCTGTCTGGTTGACTACTACTAAGCATGACTACGCATACAATGCTACCAGCATGGCTTCATTAACTTTATTAAGATTAGATTAGGAGACCCTTATTAGTCCCACAACGGGGAAATTTCACCTCCGTAATCTAACCCATCCGTGCAGTGAAACACCACATACACACTAGGGGGTAGTGAGCACACTTGCCCACAGCGATGGGCAGCCCTATCCACAGCACCCGGGGAGCAGTTGGGGGTTAGGTGCCTTGCTCAAGGGCACCTCAGTCACGTACTGTCAGTTCAGGGGATCGAACCGGCGACCTTCTGGTCACAGGGCTGGTTCCCTAACCCAGCCCATGACTGCGCTAAAGCTCACTTAAAGAGGGACCTTCACCATTTTTGGGGATTTTCACACTTCTTTCTGCATATATAAATTGCTGAGATGTGAACAAAGTCATTTCGAGTGATTTGTAGTCAAATGGTTCACACAGAGAAATTTGTCAAATTGGATTTCTTTACAGTGGCAGTGACAGGAACCAGGAGTCGAGATGTCAACATTGTTTTGTATGTTGATGTTGCCAAAATAGTAGTAGATGTAAAAAAAGAATATGAAATTGTGGTTGAATTCCTCTTTAATTATCGTTTATATTATTTTTATTTATCTTTAATATTATGGTTGTGATACATTTGAAAAATATCATGATACTGAGCGTTATCGGTACAGCCCAGCGCCGATCTAATCTACACGTTATGAAATTTGGGCATTTCAGCGATTTTTGTAAACAGAGTCATTCAGAGTGGTTTGGTGTGAAATGGTTCATTGTAGAGGCTCAGCTTTCTTTACAGTGATAGGAACCAGGGGTCACCACCTCTACAACCCATATATGTGTGTGTGTGTGTATATATAATTTACACTATATATATATATACATACACACACACACATCTATTTTGCCTCACAACACCCTGCATGGTGCACCACATTTTAAGCCAAAACTTTATCAGAAAGCCATCATAAAATAACGTCTCAGACATCAGGCATCATATATCTGGCCATCTCATGAAATAGCTTTCTGTGAGTGAGGTGGACATCTGGTTCCTATCACCACCACTGTGAACAATTCTGACTTGATAAGTTTCTCTAGAACAGAGCGTTTCACACCAAATACAACACTCGGAACGAGTTTGGTTACATCTCAACCATTTAATTTAAGTTTTTCAAGAATTAAACCACTCAGAGTGACTTTGTGTACCTCTTAACCATTTTAATATACGGAGATTTAGCAAAATTTGGTGGAATTCCCCTTTAAACATAACCTGATATCGTGATACATTTGGAAAATATCGTGATACTGAGTGCTATCAATACGGCCCAGCACTAATCTAATCTGCATGTTACCAAGAACTTCTGTTAACAAACGATATGTTTCTGCTGGCAAAGCTGCTAACTTAGCACACAGCAAAGGGCTAATGAAATACGTAGTTTACGCAGCTTTTTATTCTTAAAAAAGTAAATACGTAATAATTGAGACTGAAACACCCAAAGCTAACTGTCAGTTAGCTAACGGGGCTAGAAGTCTCCGAACTGCGTACGTTAGTTAGCTAAGCTAACCAAACCTCCTAGATAAACTGTCCAGCTACATTTACTGGAAACAAGTCCGACTTATAAAAGTCAGGAATGATTATTCGCGTTTTATTTGCACACAGGTTGTAGGGAACTTGTATATGACCTTCGTGAAAACAGCAGCTAATAGACTAGCCGTCGTAAGTTAGCTTCTTATTCGAATTTTGCCCGTTCCACCTTAAATGGTGCAGCAGTTATACTCTGGCGCCTCGGGGCGCCGAACGCAACTGCCGCACCATTTAAGGTGGAACGGGTAATTCGAATAGGAAGACAAAAACAAATGAGGGCTAAACAGATTCACGTTAACCTATATATGGGGCGAGTAAGGGCTGTGAAGAAGCTTAACAGCCAATTACTTGGATATTATATCTTTCATAATTCTGTGGCTCTTGGATTGGTGACAACATAACAACATTAGCGCAGCCTGGCTGAGAGCACACAGGCCTTCAGCGTCAAAGACCGGATCCTCGGTGCTCGAGTGAAGGCCTTGCCGGACGCGGCGCCTCGCTGCCGGTCGGTACTCACAGGAAAGGCTCGTATCCTCATCTTGGTGTCCTTTTTGGTGCCGCCTTTGCTGAGATTTGACATGTTTGCCTGCCTCCCCGGTGTTCCTCTCCCTCCGCGCTCACATGAAAGTCTAGTCCTGGTAAAGGGGGTGGAGGAGTAAGTCCGTGGAGCTGCTGATCAGCCTCCACTTGACCTTCTTTAACAGTGGAAGATCCCAGGAGTTCGGGACTTGTTGACAAGCGCCTCGGCTCTGCTGCTCTCCAATGATGGCGGACGCTCACTGCTAGACAGGGTTGCCAGATTGCTTTTAGCTACGGTTTCCAGCTAGAAAATGTTGAAAACCCACCAAAACGCATGGAAAAACGCCCAAATTACACCAAATGGTCATTTTAATCACAATAGGAAACCAGAAGAGTGAATTTCCTGAAGAAAATGCAGATTGACTATGGCATTTTAGGTGTTTGCAAGGGTGTTGATAAGTGGTTGCTATGGTATCCCAGGTAGTTACTAGGGTGTTTCAAGGTGGTTGCTACGATATCCCAGGTGCTAATGGTACCCTACATGTTCAGTAGGGTGTCGCTAATGGGCTTGTATCATAAGCTGGGTGCACACACTTTTGCACACACTTTAATTGTACGAAATTGTACATATGTCTGATCAAAAATTTGTATACAAGCACACCATTCTGGCCAAATCAGGCCGAACATTCTGGAGTTGGAACAGTGTTGATATCTTGAAAACTGCAGGACGTGTTAGCGGACAACAATGCGGCAGAAAAATAGGACAAATCAGAAGAGGAAGAAGAACACACTGTTGGATAACAATAGTGTTGCGTTAATAGAGAAATTTACCAACATGACATCAACCAGAAAAGTGCTTTTGCTGAAAAAAACCCAGAGTGATTGCACATCTTAATCAATTTGCTAATGGTTGCTAGGCTGTTTCCAGGTAGTTACTATGGTCTTTTAGTTTCTTGCTATGTTGTCCCAGCTGATTTGTAAGGAGCTGCTACTTCAGTGGTTGCCATGATATCCCAGGTGGGTGCTATGGTTTTGATAGGTAGTTGTTATGGTATCCTGGGTGGTTACTAGGGTGTTGCTGGGTGGCAGTAGTACCCCACATAGTTAATAGGGTTATGCTAATGGCCTTGTGTGGTTGTGATATAAATGCAAACATTCGCTCCCCATTCATTCCAATGGGGGGAAAAATTTAACATTGACTGTACAAAAACTGTACATTGGACCAAATGCGAGCACGCCATTCCTGATCACACCAAACATTCCAGATTTGGAACGGTGTCCATAATCTCAAAAAATTAGCAATGAGTTAGCTGTTAAAAATCCGGCTGAAAAGCAATTATCATAACAATAATTTACCTTCTGAAAATAGTTGGTCTTTATCAAATGTGTTTATTGTACACTGCTTAAAAGAAAAAAATGTTTTTATTGTTTTTCTAGGTTTTTTGTATCCTTGTTTTCATCTATATGCCTGGACAAATAACCTATGAATAGTTTAAATTAAATAATTAAATAACTTGATTTTCCATAACTCGGGCTGCATGCTGTCTGCCTCGTTAATATAAGATAATAAGTTTTAAGAGTTTTGACAGTATTATAATTTGTTGTAAGTGTTGTAACTGATAGTACCCATTAAGCCATACAGTCAGAAAGGCAAATGAATAGTAACAGCATTGCCAACCTAACTATTCCTCGTGCACATGTTTAAAACTTGTTTACCTTCAGCCTATAGGTTCTGTTGAACAGATCACTGGCCATTATAATTTCCATTATTGCTGAACTGTGTACAGTCAGTAATGCAGAGTGAACTAGATAATCTGTTCCTGAATGCTCATCCAACAGATCAGTAATACACTGAGTATGGCCTATTAAAATTTCACCTGTATGATTAAGTAATTCAGTACATTAATACTATAAATATGTTATATACTCTTTTTTAACATGCCAGATAATGACATACCAGTCAAATTTTGTCCACCCACCAAAGCACTCCCGCCCCCCACAAAATCCAACCAAACCCAATTTGGTGGAATTCTGCCCAATCTGGCAACACTGCTGCTAGATCTCACTCACAACAACACATGCGAGAAGAAGAGGTGATCTCCCCTCAGCTTCACCGCAACAATTAAATGAAGAAAGTTGTCTTTAGATTATACAACAGGTCCAAAGGTTTGTAGACACACACAGCGTTTCATCTGAAATCATGGTGCCCTTATCCTGCATCTGTATTGTTTTTGTATTTTATTGTTTTCTCTGAGTCTATTTATGACATTTATTATATTTTTTGTACCACAAAAGTCATAATTCATTTTTACATGACCATTTTCCAACCACTCTTTACTCTTTAGAATTAAACAGGCTGATTTGTTGCTATACTTTTAAGACAGGTACTATATGTAAATTGCTTTCACAATGGTCTCTATTGGTCAGTGCTTTCTTATGGAGATTATGCAAGCTGTATGCCTAGGTGTACCCTAAAGTAGCTGACTTCACTTACTAGTCAAGGGTTGTCAAAATTTTTTTGGACATATAGTAGAACCTTAAGTTATTAGTGGGCAGAATCAGTTTGGACGATACTTTATTCACAAATAAGGTATTCACAAGTAAGGTATATATGTTAAGGTATTCTGGGCCTTCTGGTAAAAGGGCTCTCTTTAATAAACTGCTGTATATTTAACCTTCATATGATGCTTACTTACATAATCTTTCTAAATAAGGTCATTAAAGCATAACACAATAATAATAATAATAATAAGAATTATTATTATTATTATTATTTTTAGTGAATAAAAATATGAAAATTGCTTTATCATTTAGGGCATACATTACCATAAAAAAACTGTCCCACATGTCCTATTTTATATTAGCCAACACCCTGTCCTATATGACCTCTGCTCCTTAAAATTTAAATTTAAGTTACAGCCACCGTTACTGAAGTAAAAAAGAAACAAAACTAAAATGTGATAAACTGTGAGTTGTGAATACTGTGAGAGCGCCCCCTGCTGGTTATCAGAGTGTCGCTGCTACCCAGTTTCAGTCTCCATTTCCCAAACGCTTTAGCGTAGCTCATTATGCTGGTAGTGAACTATGCTGCCTTACACAGCTGCCTAAAAACAAGTAACTAATTGTATTCTATATATATATGTATATATCTCTGTTGTTGGAAGAAAAGGCCAGGCTCGCAGTCTCCGCTCTAATTCATCCCAAAGGTGTTATATCGGGTTGAGGTCAGGACTCTGTGCAGGCCAGTCAAGTTCTTCCACACCAAATTCGCTCATCCATGTCTTTATGGACCTTGCTTTGTGCACTGGTGCGTAGTCATGTTGGAACAGGAAGGGGCCGTCCCCAAACTGTTCCCACAGAGTTGGGAACCACAGAGTTGGGAACATGAAATTGCCCAAAATCTCTTGGTCTGCTGAAGCATTAAGAGTTCCTTTCACAATGCAGTCAGACAAGTACCGTTCTAGTGGCACCCACCAAACCCAGGCTCGTCCATCGAATTGGCAGACGGAGAAGCGTGATTTGTCACTCCAGAGAGTGACAAGCTCTAAAGACCAGTGGCGGCGCTTTACACCACTGCATTCGACGCTTTGCATTGCGCTTGGTGATGTAAGTTTGGATGCAGCTGCTCAGCCATGGAAACCCATTCCATGAAGCTCTCTACGCTGTTCTTGAGCTAATCTGAAGGCCACATGAAGTTTGGAGGTCTGTAGTGATTGACTCTACAGAAAGTTGGTGACCTCTGCTCACTATGCGCCTCAGCATCTGCTGACCCTGCTCTGTCATTTTAAGTTGCTTTCATTCCCAATCGCTTCCACTTTGTTATAATACCACTGACAGTTGACTGTGGAATATTTAGTAGTGAGGAAATTTCACGACTGGACTTGTTGCACAGGTGGCATCCTATCACGGTACCAGGCTGGAATTCACTGAGCTCCTGAGAGCGACCCATTCTTTCACTAATGTTTGTAGAAGCAGTCTGCATGCCTAGGTGCTTGGTTTTATACACCTGTGGCCATGGAAGTGATTGGAACACCTGAATTCAATGATCTGTATATACACTATATTGCCAAAAGTATTCACTCACCCATCCAGATCAATATATATATATATATACATTAAAACCCTTTTAACCTTTTGTAATGCATTACCCACCATTACCAACTCATATGAATGCTGATAGCAGGTAGCTAATGGCTAATAAAATATTACAATACCTCAGTCATGTAACATTTTCACTCTTCTAATGTTCATGGTTTTATGAAATTTTATGAGAATAAACACAACAGCGATGTGAAATGTTATCTCCAATCTCCAAAGCTAACTGCCAGTTAGCTGGCTAACACCGTTAGCTGTAAGTCTCCAAACTGCGCTAGCTAGCTAATTAGCTTGCTAGCCATCAAGACAGACAAATTCCATATTTTACTTATTTTCTTGCAAGAAACATTTTACAAGAACAAAAAGCATCAAATAAATATTAGTAGCCTCACTAATTAGCTAATTTTACCCTCAATGGTAACGTTAAGGATTCAGTAAGGGTGTGAAAATAGCCTGTAAGGTTAGCTAGTTAGCTAAGGGATTGTGAATGTGGCTACTTGAGTGTGGTGGAGCATCAGGCTGTGGAAAGGTGTGGCTTTTTAAAATAGTATGATTAATAATTAAACTAATATTATTTCTTAATAATTTAGTAAATGTCACTTCATGTTGTTGAATTCCAAATGAGAGCTTGTTTATTTAATATTTTATTTGAGTTTCCTTTTGGGTCTAACGTTACCCTATGGGTTTAATGGATGTTCATATGTGAATATTAAAGACATACTCCACTGATTTTTAACCATTTCTACATAATTAAATGGTTAAGATGTAAACAGAGTCATTCAGGGTGGTTTGGTGTGAAACGCTCTGTTTTAGAGCAACTTACCGAGTCAGAATTGTTCACAGTGGTGGTGATAGGAACCAGACGTCCACCTTTAAAAGCTCCCTCACAGAAAGTTACTACATGAAATGGTTATGAATTCACTGCCTGATGTCTGAGACATTTTTTGGCCTAAAACATATTTTAATCGATTTGTTTCAGTTTATGTTTGTGTTGTAGTCATGGCGACCCCTGGTTCCTATCACCATCACTGTAAAGACATCTACAATGTTTACACATCAACCACTGAATTAGGAAAATGTTTTAAAAATCGGTGGAATTCCCCTTCAATATCCCCACCCTGCTGAAAAAGACCATTAGAAACCATTAGGATTAAAATCCAGTGATTTTCCTTTTAATGGGAATTGGTTTAATAGTTTCCAATAGTGAACATTATTTTCCTGTAGAACACCTTTAAATCCCATTAGGAAACAATTAAATGCATTTAAAATCAGTCAATGGTCACCTGTTAAACCATTAGGATCATTTACACTGTGATGTTAACCCATTAGAAAAAACATCAGGAACCAACAGCAACACTTAATGGTTTCTATGGGTTTTTTTCAGCAGGGCGATCAGTCTGACCGCGCGTTTATAACAGCTAATCTGCTAATATTTTCACTAAAATGTGATTATAAACACAAAATGAGTGAAATTTATTTTATAATCAAAATCAGAGCCACACATTTCGGGGTACGAAGCTGAACTCAGCTTCTTCCGGTCCACCTTAAATGGAGGCGCCAGTGTAAATGTATGTGCTTCAGTTTTAAGGTGGAACGGACAATTAGATCAGAACTGGCCAACTTGAGCCTCATTTTCGGGCTTTCAGCGTCCACTGCTGGACACAAACCTCAACAGGCGTCCAGGGAAATAATCTCAAACAGGATATTTATTTTTCCACGTCATATTTCTCGACTTTAAGGACAAAAAAATGACTTTTATTTGTCCACTGATGCCGGAATATTGTTTTTTAGCACTGCGTGCTGCGTGTCCTGTGAAGCTTGTTGGATGTAATGTTAGCTAGAGATATTTTTTGGCTTATATTGTTTTATTGACGGAATATCAACACAGAATAAATATGAATAACTTTTTTGTAACGTGTGGAAGGAGAGATCACTGAAGAAGAAGGCAGAGAAATGGTAAGATTCGCTATTTTTCCTCCCAATATTTAGCCTTTATCCTTCAACATAGCCCAAAATGCAAATGAATAATCACAGAATGTTGTTTATAAATTTAATAACTGATTGAAATATTGAATAAAAATCTTAAAACACATTTTGGTATCTGGTTTATAATATTATTATATTTATAATATATTATTAAATATATATGTAAGTCGATATTGAATAAAATAGAAGCAAAAACAAGTGATTCCAAACATAAACGCTGGTGTGTATCTCATTTACTTCAGTCAGGCTAATGTTTAAGCCTGATTATCTCTTTATCAAGCTTTACTGACCTGCTTATGTTCAGTTTTAAGTGAATTTGGTTCATTTTACTGGTCAATTCTTGCTTCAGTATGGAATATGTACTGTGTTGTTATTCACTGCACTTAACATATCACTTAAATGTCGACAGTACGGTTTTATCAACACATGTTTGAAGTCGCTGGTGATCGATAAGTTTGGAGAAGAAACCTGGAATAAACTCAGGTGAATTTCTTTTTGCTTTCCCTTTTGAACTCATGACGCGCTGTAGTTACTCTCGCTGTCCACCAGGTGGCGGTAGTGGCCGCGTCATCGCTGACTCAAGTAGGAGTAAAACCGAATGCACCGCTTGTACACATAGTTGATTATTTGAATAATTGGAAAGGGAACTCCACCCTTTTTTAAGAATTTCTCTGTAATTAAATGGTTAAGACGTATACAGAGTTATTCGGCGTGGTTTGGTGTGAAATATTCGTTCTAGAGAAACTTACTCAATCCGAATTTTTCACAGTGGTGGTGACAGGAACCAGACGTCCACCATGTCTGAGACATTATTTTATGATAGTTATGTGGTAAGCTTTTAGCTTCAAGCTTATTGTTTTCATTAATTCATGGTGGAGGGATACATGCAGGGTTTTGTGAGGCAAGATAGTCCCCCAAAAAACTTATTATTTCAGATTTCAACTATTTTCCTATCATCAACATTTCATATAAAACTCAGAAGACACAGAGGTTCACTGGTGGTTTTGGATAGTAGATAAAATGGCTATATTTGTGTTGTAGTCATGGCAACCCCTGGTTCCCATCACCACCACTGTAAAGAAATCTGAACCATTTCACACCAAACCACTCTGAATGACTCTGTTTACATTACACACACTGAATTATGCAGATACTTTGAAAAATTGGTGAAACTCCCCTTTGCTGTTTTTCAGGGAGGAAGCAGGTGCTGAAGATACCTTCATGACTTACGAAGTGTACAAAGATGAGATTACCATGCGGCTGGTAGCGGAGACCTGCAGGCTCCTCGGTAAAGCAGTCTGTGCCGCAGACTTACGCTTTAAACTTGTTTCTAAGGAGTAAAAATACACATGTGAATCTTGGGGTCCAAAACAGAAATAAATAAATAGACAAAAATATTTTATGATATGTCAGTGTTTAAACAATATATGATATGTGTGCTTTGAACAATAGTTTGGAAAAGAAAGATGGTTCTTCAAGGGTTATTTAGTAAGGAACGTGGTTCTGTATAGAACTATGAGCACTCAAAGAACCATTTGCATGTTTAAAGAGTTCTTTCATAATAAAATTGTTCTTCAGATTGATAGAGAATGTGCTGTTTATGATTCTATATAGAACCTTTTTAGAAAGGGTTCTATATAGCACCAAAAAGGGTTTTCTATAGTTGCAATGTCGAGCTTGTATACAATAGAAGAACCCTTATTGGTGCTATGTAGAACCCTTTTTAAAAAGGTTCTATATGGGACCACATACAACACGTTCTTCATCAATCTGAGGAACAACTTTATGATGCAAAAAACCCTTAATCATGCGAATGGTCTATGGTTTTCTATAGAACCTTTTTTTATGAAAGAACCCCTTGAAGAACCATCTTTCTTTTTAAAGAATGTATTGTTGAAGATATAAAGATAATATGTACACCAATCAGGCATAACATTATGACCACCTCCTTGTTTCTACACTCATTGTCCATTTTATCAGCTTCACTTACTATATAGGTGCACTTTGTAGTTCCACAATTACAGACTGTAGTCCATCTGTTTCTCTGCATACTTTGTTAGCCCCCTTTTACCCTGTTCTTCACTGGTCAGGACCCCCATGAACCCTCACAGAGCAGGTACTATTTGGGTGGCGGATCATTTTTAGCACTGCAGTAACACTGATGCGGTGGTGGTGTGTTAGTGTGTGTTGTGCTGGTCTGAGTGGATCAGACACAGCAGTGGTGCTGGAGTTTTTAAACACCTCAGTGTCGCTGCTGGACTGAGAATAGTCCACCAACCAAAAAATATCCAGCCAACAGCGTCCTGTGGGCAGCGTCCTGTGACCACTGATGAAGGACTAGAGGATGACCAACACAAACTGTGCAGCAGCAGATGAGCTATCGTCTCTGACTTTACATCTACAAGGTGGACCAACAACGCAGGTGCGTCTAATAGGGTGGACAGTGAGTGGACACCGTGTTTGAAAACTCCAGCAGCACTGCTGTGTCTGATCCACTTGTACCAGCACAACACACACTAACACACCGCCACCACGTCAGTGTTACTGCAGTGCTGAGAATGATATTTGAGACATTCTACAGTTTCTGTAGAATGACTCAAATATCTGACGCACAGCTGGTAAGCCTGTCAACAGAGTCCTCATTTTCAGACAGAATGGGGATGTATAATTGCCGTCAGCATAGCTGTGAAAACTGATATCATATTTCCTGATCACATCAACTAAGGCCCTAAGATTGGACCTTGTGGGACTTCACAAAAAAGTTACAATTTTTGATAAATGATAAAAGACATTTTGGATGAAAACTTGCAGAAGTCTGAAAGTCACCAGCTGCTTTCTGAAAGGAAACTTTACTGAAAGGAAAATAAATGATGCTTGCTTTGACATATTGTTTCCTGATACAGTGAACTCAATACATTATTAAGGCCCAATCTCATTTCTTATTCTTACCCCTACCCCTTGTTTTCGAGTGTCTCCTTGCTCCTTAGAACTGAGTTACAGGGGTAATGGTTGAAATTTTCCCTCTGAAATGGGACCCTCAAATAAAAAAGAGCATTACTTCATTAATAGCTACTAGCGCTCCTCTGTAGGCGACCCTGCCAGTCTGCAGTGACAGCAGAGGAGGGTAAAGTTCAGCTCCTCACTGCTGGGCTTTAGTTACATTTAGGGCGTCATATGCCTACAAAGAGGGCACTTATTTATTATCACCCACCCCTAATTCTTCAGTGATATGAAGCTGAAGTCAGATATTCACCAGCTTCTTGTTTGAATTTTCCCGTTCCACCTTAAATGGTGTGGCAGTTTTGATGTCCGAGGTGCCAAAATGTAACTGAATTAACATTTAAGGTGGAACACAAAAAGGTTCCACCTTAAATGAAGCAGCAGTTAGATTTCTGGCGCTTCAGGCGTCAGAACTGCTGGACTATTTAAGGTGGAGTGGGAAATTTAGCTAGTTAGCTACTGAGACATTAGCATACTATTAGCGATTTTTTATGCTTGTTATAAAGAAAAGGATCATAATACATTGAAACTACATTAAACTAAGATAATCTGATCATTTTTAACAGAGAAAATTCTCACATTTGTGGGTTTCTTTGGTCTCTTGCTCAGCCATCTCGCCAGTTTTTCTTTTTTTCTCGTATCACGCCATTTGCCTTTGAAAAATCTCAGTTTGGAGGGCCATGTAGCCCTAACACTTCGCCCTACCCCTCTATTTCAACAAAAATCGGGACTCCCTACCCCTAGACGTGAACGCACAAAACAGGGGGCTAAGGGCTCAGTGGTAGGGGCGAGGGGTGAAATGGGATTGGGCCTTAAGTATGGCACAAATGTCTAAGTACTTTTTAAGTTTGCTGTGTAAAACATTTTTTGGGCCCCAAGACAGTTTCAAAGGATGATTCACCTGGACTGTAATAGTCTGAGCTCTGCTTTTCAAACCTGCTTAATCCCTGCATTTCTGTAAACCTCTTTTCTTATGGATCCGCTTTCTTTCTTCATTTTTAAAGACGTGGAAGCCAGTGTGGTGCTGAGACTGTTTGGCGAATACTTCTTCGAGTTCTGTAAAAGATCAGGCTATGACCACATGTTGCGCACGCTGGGAGCAAATCTCTTCGAGTTTATGGAGAATCTGGACGCTCTGCACGGCTACCTGTCCCTTTCGTACAAGGTGAGCACCGTGCGCAGGTGTGGGGTCACTCCTCTGTGTCTTGAGGAGAATTTAAATGAAAGGTTTATTGTTTAGTGATGCATTCAGATGAAATGATGAATAATTTAGCCCTGTGCTAATATTATAAAGAATTAATCAGAAGATGGGTGTTTATAATGGACTGAACAAAAGAATGTTATTTGTTTTTTGATTTTTGAATTTACTTGATTTAAATGTGCGGGTTTCACATATAAGACATACACACAGTTATTAACAAAAGCACTAAATAAGATAATAAAATGAGTTTTTATATATTCAAATATGTATATATACCACTGTTCTTTTAATCTTATTAAGATTAAGTGATCCTTATTAGTCCCACAACAGGGAAATTTAACCTCCACAGTCTAACCCATCTGTGCAGTGAAACACCACATACACACTAGTGAACACACACATTAGGGGGCAGCGCCCGGGGAGCAGTTGGGGGTTAGGTGTCTTGCTCAGGGGCACTTCAGTCACATACTTGTCGGCCCAGGGGATCAAACTGGTGACCTTCCAGTCACAAGGCTGGTTTCATAGGACAACCAGCTGGGATTTTATAGGAACAGCTTTATCAAGCCAACTTAAAGTTCATTCACAAATGTTCCCCTTATAGTTCAAAATTGTTTTTTTTTTCAGATCATAATGATATAATAACGCTGAGATGTTTTGCAAGAATACTTTACATATTTTACATTATATGGTTATAGGAGATGAATGCTCCATCGTTTCGTGTGGAAAAGAACAGCGACAGCACCATGCTCTTACACTATTATTCTGACCGCAGGGGTCTCTGCCACATTGTGCCAGGTGAGATTAACTTCTTTCTAATTGCATGATGATTGAAAAAAAGTGTATCATGATGTAAAGATTCTATACTAAATAAAGTCTGAGTGAAGATCCACTCAGTAGCCGTTATTCTTAAACCCCTCGACAATCCAGGTTTATTTCATACAAGGGCGAATTATTCAGTAACTATAGGGATTTCAATGCAAACTAATGAAGCTATTCTTAGGTTATATACGTGTGCAATAAAACTTTGGGCCTGCTGGTGGGCCTGTGGCTTGGTAAGGGGTTAAAAGTGTATCTGGAAGCATCTTTGGGTCAAACTTCACTACGTGCCAATTATGACTGCAGGCATCATTGGAGCCGTAGCGAAAGACTTCTTCAGCAGTCGAATTGAGATGGAGGTGGTGAATCAGATGGAGGAGGTGGAGAGGACGGGGAAAAAGGAGCATGTTGTTTTCCTGATAACCCACCACCCAGCCTTCTCGGAGAAAATGTGCAGCAGAAACGCAGCGTCACCTTCACAGCGCGCTCAGGCCTCGGGCTGCACACACGGCGCAGCACGCACCAACAAACAGGTAGAGCAAAACTGACAATATGTCAACATTGCATAAATCAATAATGCTGTCTTTAAGATCTTCAGTATGTACTGAGTCTTGTGCAGCCATATGACATCACACTGAGCCAGCGGTAGCCTATTAGCAGAGGGATTTTAACTATTTGTCTTTATTTTATAATAAAACATTTCAATTTGGTTTATATATCACATTTTAATAGTATTGAACACATTGACAGTATTTAAAGGCATGCAGGTCTTAACAGTTGGAGTTCCCTTTAAAATGCTCTTATTGAATTTAAAGCCATGAATTGATTGACCACTCTTTATTGAGCTGCTATTGGCCCCTGGACTGCCGTCATGGTACTATTAGGCTGATTTTAAAACCTCTTTTGAGTCTTCAGGCATTGTTTTCATCCTACAGGTGTACTGCTTGTCCTGCAATTGTAAGTGTGAATGACTGTCCAGTGACCTCTGGGATAGGCTCCAGCTCCCCCCATGACCCAGAAGGATAAGCGGCTTAGAAAATGTGTGTTTATGTGTTTGTGTGTGTGTGCGTGTGTGTTCAGTGTTCACACTGTTATTGGAACCAAAGGGAGACCCTCAGAAGCTGCTGTAGGATATTTTTAAATGAGTATGCTCTTGTGACATCGCAAAGACAATGGCTCTGCTTTTGCAGCCTAGTGTCCATATATGGACTGTATGCACTGGGGAGTGAATGGGGTTGGCAACAAAAATCAAACCACCTTGAGAGCCACAACATTTTATGTCCATTTTACCATTTTGGCTGTAAATATGTCTCAGTATGTGTTAATGTACTAGTATAGGATAAAAAGTATAATATAAACAAAAACACAGACTTACTTTGCTCTGGTTTAAACTTTAGCTCAGCTATAGCTGCTTTTCTCGCATCTCTGACAGGAAACTTTTCCGCAAAGGTAGAACAGTTTCTTGTAAAACCTTTGACTTCTCACGAGGCTGAAGTCGCTTCTCATTCACCAGCTTCTTCTTCACATTTTCCCATTACCCCTTAAGTGGTGCATGAGGCGCCGGAATGTAACTGCTGCACCATTTAAGGTGGAACGAGAGAATTCAAAGGAGAAGCTGGCGAATGAGAAACTGACCTCAGCTTCGTGACTTTTTAGTGTTTGTCAGTTTCTCACTGCAGATCAAACGTATCAGGAAACCAGCTGGAGTGATTATATATGCAAATAAGTCTGATTGTCTCCAAATTATCAGTGTTCATCTTAAATCTTTCTGTCTGCCTTTTCGTTAACTAGGCAAGATTCGTAAGCTACTAGCTAGGCGAGATTATTGTCTGTGTTGCTATGGTGACCAGCAGTCTGTGCACCAACCTTCAGAGTTAAAGGGTGAATTAGCAGTTCTACATTAACTCCAGCGTTTAAGACTATTTATTGTTAAACTGTGCTGAACGATCAGCAGAGTTTTATTTTACTCTGAAGGAGGATTATTTTATTTTTACCTATAAATGTAATTCTGCTGTAGAGCCACAACAGGGCAGTAAAAGTAGATCAAACTCCTTCAATAAAACAAAATAACAATAATATAAACAAGAAAAATTCTGTTTTTCATGTTACGGGCCCTTTAATGCTACTTAAAGCAGCTTAAAACTATTCTACCTGACTCTTTCAGCTTGTAAAGACATGCATGTAATATTTTTACTTTGTATTTTGTTCAGTGAATCATTTAACTGTTCTAAGCCCTGATTGTTATTCTACACTACTGTTCTTCCCAGGAGGTGGAAAAATCAAGGCAGACCAAAAAACATACAGGTGCACGGAGGAACCACTGGGAGACCGTCAGAAGCTTGGTGCAGCTGGGAAAAGGTAAAAGCCAGTGCATGCTGTGTCTTAGATAGTACTTAATTTGAATGTATAATGCATAATTTAAAAAGATCTAGGTAAAGAATTGGCATTTTAACCATTTAACCAATTTAAGACATATTTATGATAAGTATATATTTATATATATTACTAAATACATGATATACCTGAACAAACAAAAAAAAACATGCTGTGCGGTTCTTCAAGGGCTCCCTAGTAAAGGCAACAATTCTATAAAACCATTCAATGCTTGAATGTTTCTTTGCATGATGAAACAGCACCAGAATGAGTCCTGCTATAGTTATCATGATATCAAGCTTGTAACAATAGCAGAACCCTTTTTTTGGTGCTATTTAGAACCATTTTGAAAAAGGTTTTATATAGAACCATATACAACACATTCTCCATCAATCTGAAGAACAGTTTTATCATGCAAAGAACCACTTAAGCATCCAAATGATTCTCTTTACTGAAGAACCCTTGAAGAACCAAGTGTGTAGTTCACCACAGCGGTAACATACAATGAACATATGTCATTCTGTGTTCAGTACTGAATATTTCTCTTTTCTGTTCAGGTAAACTGTTGAGGGGATTTGAGCCTGTGTACCCTGATGAACTGTGCATAGACCTGAAGACTTTCTGCAATGCCTTTCCTTTTCATATTGTGTTTGATGAAGAAGTAAGACAGCATCTCATGTAACGTGTGTTTGTTCAGACTGATAGCTGAGAGTTTAAAGCTTTTGATTGAATGTATATGATTGAATGTACCACCTAAGACGAGCTCTACACTACTGATGTAGAGAATAGCACTAGAGCTCTTCTGCTATTCTTCCTGCCATCCAGCTGAGGGTGCGGCAGGCGGGAGTGACGGTGCAGAAGATCGTGCCAGGATTACAGACCATGGGGATCCAACTGAACCAGTACTTCACCATCCTGCACCCAGAGGTCACCTTCACCATCACCAGCATCCGCAAGTTCATCAACAGTCACTTTGTTCTGCAGACTCGTCGAGACATGATGCCCGAGTGCTGGAAGGAGACACCCATGCTTGAGCTCAGAGGTGGGAGATGAGGAATAAACACTAGCTGAGCCTTTATTTGCCTTAGCTATGTGGTCAACTTTGATCTTTTCTACGGAGAAACAGACACTGCATGTCCAAACATTTGATACCAGTTTCTGCAGCGTTTTAATGAAAGATATTCTTTGCTGCAATAACAGCCTTTACTCTTATGGGAAGTTGGAACTAGGCTAGGCTAATATACAAATACATTAACACAATATTTACTCCTACATTTATTTCTTTTTTGGCCATTTTCAAATTTCTGAAAACTTGAACACTTTCTTTCATTTCGGTTGTATTCGATAAAAACGCAACATACACATGGGCGTCAACAGTGCAAAAACTTAGATCTTGGCAAGTGAAATCTTAAATATTAATATCTTTAATATTTCTAATCTTGAGATTGTTGTAAGCTTATTAGAAGATAATTTAACTTATTTCTAGACATTTTTACTTAACTTTATTTAATCTTTACTTTTAAGTAATTTTATCAAATAAATTCTCTCACTGTGTTGGCAGATAATTTTGCTTGCTGTAAAAATTATCGCTGCTGTTGGAACAAAACCTCGTATCTCCATTTTTGTTGTTTTTCAGTTTTTGACATAGTTTGAAAATACCAATTGTACCCACATTGTGTAATTTCATGAAGAATGAATTAAAGGAAATGGCCCAAAATTACTTGGAAAAAATTCTGGTTCCATTGACTTATATTTAAAGAAAAGAAGGTTTTTTTCCTTCTCCTGTAAAGTTACCATTTTGGAGATATGAGGCAAATTATCTGCCAATACAGTGAGAGACTTTTACTTGATAAAATTGCTCAAAACAAGTAAAACATGTCTAGAAATAAGTTAAATAATCTTATAATAAGCTTACATTAATCTCAAAATAAGAAATATTAAATATATATACTAGATTTAGGATGATTTCACTTGCCAAGATACCTTTTCTGGCAGTGAACTCATATAAAAATGAAAGTGAAAACAAATCAGAGCAGCAGGATTGTTGGCCACAGTTTGTGGGGAACCTGTATTAGATTTCTCAAATCACAGCCTTGTATGACCACATAGCTCCAAAATTTCAATGAAACCATATTTTATATGGGTAAATCGTATGGGTTCACTGCCAGAAATGGTATCTTGGCAAGTGAAATCGTCTTAAATCTAGTCGGTATATCTAATATTTCTTATTATTAGATCAATGTAAGCTTATTATAAGATTATTTAACTTATTTCTAGATGTTTTTCTTGTTTTAAGTAATTTTATATGACAAGTAAAATTATATGACTTTGTTTGCTTCAAGCATATTTCTTACAACAAGCAAGATGATCTGCCATTACAGTGAGAAAATTTTACTTAATAAAATTACTTAAAACAAGTAAAATATGACTAGAAATCAGTTAAATAATCTTATAATAAGCTTACATTAATCTTAAATAAGAAACATTAGATATATCGACTAGAATTAAGCTGCCAAGATACCATATCTGGCAATGAACCTATGTGATTTACTTATATAAAATATGGTTTCGTCAAAATTTTGGAGGTATGTGGTCATATAAGGCTGTGATATGAGAAATCTAGTCTAATACAGGATCCCCACAAACTGTGGCCAATAATTTCACTGCTCTGATTTGTTTTTCAGTTTCTGAACAGTAATCTGACAAGCCGAAACTTGACCTTGGGCATGGTGACCTTAGGCACATGAGTGTGCGGCTGCTCCAGAGCATCCCATTCTATTGGTCACTGCTTTTCTATGGAGATGGGTGAATTTAAAGTAGCTGAATTAATACCTTAACATACAGTTATTTATTTGTAAATTAGGTCTTGTTCTGACTGATGTTGCCCACTGATAACTCTATGTGTGTGCTATGTGTCCAAAAGTATGTGGACCACCCTTGTAATGATTGCATTCAGCTATGTTAGGGTGCAACTAGGCATACAGCTCAAATAATCGGCATAGAAAAGCGCTGAGCAAATAGAATTGGACGCTCTGGAGCAGCAGCACATGAGCCTAAAGTCACCATGTCCAATGGTAAGTGTGGGCTACAGGGGTATAAAGCCCACCGGGCATTGGGCTGTGGAGCAGTGGAACTGTGTTCTCTGGAGTGATGGAGCTCCATCCAATACCTTTGGGATTAGTTGGAGTGATCCAGAACTGACCATCCAACATCAGTACCTGACCCCACTGGTGCTCAATTAAATCCTCACAGCAGTGTTCCAACATCTCGTGTAAAGCCTTCCCAGAAGAGTAGAGGCTGTTACTGCAGCAAAGGGGGATCAAACAACCTATTAATACCCTTCATTTCAGAAGAAACACTGGTGTCTACAAACTTTTGGACATTTAAACCCCTTTATTCCACCCTTTGCACTCTTTTATATGTCTTTCTTTCTTTTCTCAGGTCAGATGTTGTGGATGGCCTCTCTGCGCTGCATGCTGTACCAGGCGTCCCCTCTGCTGCGCAGCCTGCAGGAGCTGGAGGAGAGGCGCATGTACCTGTCCGACATCGCCCCGCACGACGCCACGCGCCACCTCATCCTGCTCAACCAGCAGCGGCTGGCTGAGATGGAGCTGTCCAGCCAGCTGGAGCGCAAAAAGGAGCAGCTGCGGCAGCTCTCGCAGCACCTGGAGCAGGAGAAGCAGAAGACGGAGAACCTGCTGTACGCCATGCTGCCTAAACACGTGGCCAACCAGCTGAAGGAGGGCAAGAAAGTGGAGGCAGGTGAATGAGACGCGGAGGAGAGGAGAAGGTTACTGTAAACAAAGAAAAGGCATTGCAGAATGTCTGCAGGTCTATCTACAGCTCATCAGGGTACACAGGCTCAAATCCCCTCAACAGTTTTTATATTATAATAATATTACTGTTATGGTGAACTACACACTTAAAAAAAGATGGGTCTTCAAGGGTTCTTTAGTAAAGGGAATGGGGTATATACAGATATGAGTTCTATATAGAACCATTTGCATTTTATTTTATTTTTTTTATTGTGCATTCCAGACAATATCAATCAAAGTGCAGTTGTTTTGATTAAGTTAAAATAACTCAACAACAAGATATAGGTAAAATTAAACTTTACTCATTTTTTTTTTTTTTGTAATTTAAATATTGTTTTTTGGCAAAAGCAGATGACTCCAATGGTAATTTCATGTTTTAGTGTTTTCATGTTTCAAAGAAAGCTGTTAACTAGATATAAATTTCTTTTAAGTGCAATATTTAACATTCTTTAACATAAACCAAAAAGGTTAAGAGATAAACTGTAACAGAAATGTTCAATATTAACCATCCACAAGATCATACCTCAGAAAATCCTAAGGCTGAATCTCAACAGGCTCACCGCTCCCTATACAGTGCACTATGTGAGCTATGAAATTTTGGCTTTTACAAACAAATATTGCGCTTTATGACCTATACGAATTGTGCACACATGGGTGAATCCAAAGAGGTTCTTTATTAGACTCACTGTGCTCTGTTCAGATGCAGTAGCCGTTATTTTAAGACCTATGTGCTGCACTTTGTAGGGAGCAGGGAGCCGTTTGAGATTCTGCCTAAAACAGTTGGCAGCAGTGCTGCGTCACCTGACCTGATTGACTGAACGGATTTATTGGGTTCTGCTGGAGAACAGCGCTGGCATTTGACCATTTCTGCTGTAAAATGTGAACTTAAAACACCTGGACAACGGACAGTCATGGCTTTTGTGACGAAAACCTATTTGGGGTTAGAATGAGCTGTGTGTGAAGAATTACCACAGCTCGTTTTTTTAAAGGATGGCGTTTATTGTTTTTTGCAAATTAACTCTTCATTTGGTTCTGTATAGTACCTTTTTGAAAATGGTTCTATATAGCACCAAAAAAGGTTCCTCTATTCCCTGCCCCCCCCAAAAATGTTAAATTCAGTAAGTAAACAGCAATTGTGTGTTTAAAATGTACAGGAAATGTTCTCCATTAAAGATGTGTTGATATATTTACACTTAATAAGTAAAATCAACTAAACATATCATTTGACCAGGGGTGCCCAAAGATTTGCATATGAATTTATGTCTTTAACAGCACAATATTAATTATGTGGAATGCATTCAAAACATATATTTCCTCTATATAGATTTTCTAGATGTTCAAATAGCATTACCTTTCATAAACATCTCAAAGTGAGGCTAAAGGAAAGCTTGTTGGAGGGATATAAGCTTCTATTACTGGTTAGCTACAAGAGTTCTTTAGTAAAGAAAAATGTTCTATATAGAACCATGAACACTCAAAGAACCCTTTTCAGCATTAAATGGTTCTTTGCATGGTGAAATTGTTCTTCAGATTGACGGAGAATGTGTTATATACACTGATCAGGCATAACATTATGACCACCTCCTTGTTTCTACGCTCATTGTCCATTTTATCAGCTCCACTTACTGTTTCTCTGCATACTTTGTTAGCCCCCTTTTACCCTGTTCTTCAGTGGTCAGGACCCCCATGGACCCTCACAGAGCAGGTACTATTTGGGTGGTGGATCATTCTCAGCACTGCAGTAACACTGATGTGGTGGTGGTGTGTTAGTGTGTGTTGTGCTGGTCTGAATGGATCAGACACAGCAGTGCTGCTGGAGTTTTTAAACACCTCAGTGTCACTGCTGGACTGAGAATCGTCCACCAACCAAAAATATCCAGCCAACAGCGTCCTGTGACCACTGATGAAGGACTAGAGGATGACCAACACAAACTGTGCAGCAGCAGATGAGCTATCGTCCCTGACTTTACATCTACAAGCTGGACTGACAAGGTAGGAGTGTCTAATAGAGTGGACAGTGAGTGGTCAAAGTGTTTAAAACTCCAGCAGCACTGCTGTGTCTGATCCACTTGTGCCAGCGCAACACACACTAACACACTACCACCATGTCAGTGTTACTGCGATGCTGAGAATGATCCACCACCCAAATAGTACCTGCTCTGGTGGTCCAGTGAGGGTCCTGACCACTGAAGAACAGGGTAAAAGGGGGCTAACAAAGTATGCAGAGAAACAGATGGACTACAGTCTGTAACTGTAGAACTACAAAGTGCACCTATATAGTAAGTGGAGCTGATAAAATGGACAATGAGCGTAGAAACAAGGAGGTGGTCATAATGTTATGCCTGATCAGTGTATTTGGTTCTATATAAAACCTTTTTTGAAAAGGGTTCTGTATAGCACCCAAAAAGGTTCTTCTATTGTTACAAACTTGACATCGTAACAATAGTAGAACCTCTTTTGGATGCTATATAGAACCCTTTTCAAAAAGGTTCTACATAGAACCATATATAACACATTCTCCATCAGTCTAAAAAAAACATGCAAAGAACAATTTCAATCAGGCTCAAACAGTTCTTTGAGTGTTCATGGTTCTGTATAGAACTGTTTTCTTTACTAAAGAACCTGTGAAGAACCATCGTTTTTAAGGTTGTACGTTAGCTTTGTTTGGTTTCAGTGCAAATCAAACCAAACAAAACAACAGCAAGAACAGCTTTATGCAACATTAGGAAATGTTCATTAACAGAGAGAAGGAGGCCATTTAGTAAAGTAGGATGAAGATGTCTGGACATTCACTCGTTTCACTTGGGGAGTGTTCTGTATATCTAAAGTCGAGCTGAGTGAAGTGTAGTGATGCTGGCTGTTTCTCTGACTCTGCCGCAGACTCATTCATTATTAATGAAGCCAGGAGGCTCGTCTCTGAAGCTCTAACTCACTGAGGGAAGCCTGCGGCTCCCAGACAGAACTTTAAAGAATAGAACTGAGAAACGTTCTGTGCACCGAACGACAGACTGACGTACTCACTTACCCCACAACACAAACCACAAACAGTCTCCAGAACAGAGTTCAGCACAGAAACTAGGGATACAGACCTGAGCACCTGCTTTTGGATGAAAGTGTGGGTTTGATGTGATGCTGAAACGTGTGAACTATTAAATATTAGTCAGCTATAATTATTCATACATGATTGTGGTCTGACAATATAGGGGTATAATTATCTGTTACATGCATTGTCTTATTGTTATTGTACCTGGAGGTGAGCTGGTGCACTAGTCAAAGAGAATTAGTCAAATTCTCAAAAACATAATTGGTCAAAATCTTAAGAAAGGAAGATGTTTTGATGTAATTAGTCTTAATCTTGAGAAAATAATACTTTCTTTGTTATAATCAGTCACAATCTTGGCCATTATTTCAATATACACTATCGCTCAAAAGTTTGAAGTCACTGATTTCATTCATATAAAATGATTCTAGGATGAATCTAATTTCTTACAAGGTTCAAACAGTTTGTAGGAAGCTGTAAAAATTAAGACGTTCATGATAATAAACGGAACCGTAAGTGATTTCATGATAAGTGAGAAATCTGTACAGCACTGAGAACGAACTGATAAAGAAACTGACACCCACAATGACTCATATTTGAAAGATGATAACCAAATCTCGCTAATTAAACAGATATTTGTAGTGTTTTAATGACAACAAATTCCAATAAACAGAAAATAACACTTTCATTTTTTCATGTCATAACTTCCCAAAATACTGTAAACTGTTAAGAAAGTGTTGGTTTAAGCTTTGATGTCTGTTGCATTTCAGTCTCCACTGTATCAGTTATTACTGAATAACAGTTATTACTATGACAAGTGCAAAACTTTTGAGCAGTAGTGTAGATCAGTTATGATTTTGAAAAAAACAAGCCATTATTTTGACGAGATTTCAAAATCTGGTGTGGTGTTGGGGTCTGTTGGCATGTATTTGTATATGTGTGTGTGTGTGTGTGTGTGTGTGTGTGTGCGCGTGAGGATGGACAACATGAACAGGCTGCTGACTGGCTACAGCTGCTAAAGGAGAACCGTACGCTGGACTCTGGTATTTTTACATAAGTTGTTATGGCTGTATTGATAAAAAAACAATAATGCAGTGGCTCCACCAGACCACGGAGTAACAAACACATCAACACCACACAAGGGTTAAGACAATGCAATATAATCGGTCACACTCTCTTGAAAATAAGTCATTATTTTGACAAAATCAGTCTAAATCTTGAGAAAATAAGAAAATAAGCCATTACTATTACAGGCATATTCTAGACCGTTCTCCGTCACATTGAATACCTTAGTTTAATTGATAGTTTCTGGTCTTGTGCTTCTCTCTAGGTGAGTTTAAGGAGTGCACCATCCTCTTCAGTGATGTGGTCACCTTCACCAACATCTGCTCCCAGTGTGAGCCCATTCAGATCGTCTTCATGCTCAACTCCATGTACCTGAGGTTCGACCGCCTCACCACTGTACACAACGTTTACAAGGTAAACCTGTGATCCTCATATAGTAACAATTAGAGGTGTGCAACATGAGGATCATGTTATTGTGATAAATTATGTCATGATATTCTTATAAGTATATGTTGCGTATGATTAGTACATGTAGAACGCTGAACAACAGCAAATACAGATTTAGACCAAGTATAGAGAGCCTGTAAACAACAACAACCAGTGAATAGTACCTGCATAAACGGCATAGTACCAAGTAGCTGATTGGATGTCAACCAATGATCCTGTTTTCTTATTTTATTAATTTATTTTTACTATTGGTTTAAAATTTTCCTTCTGGTCCTTAATAAGTATTTTTATTCATTTATGCTGGCGATTTTTTTACATTCCAACATCTTCACCACTTTTAGAAAAACAAAGTATCATAAGACACATTGTGAAAATGCCTTTGAGTACCACAATGTTCTACCACCCTTAGTGGTCAGCAATTTGCTTCTGACTATAGATTTGTTGATCTTATAGGTTGAAACAATAGGTGATGCCTACATGGTGGTGGGTGGCGTGCCAATCCCAGTGTCCAGTCATGCAGAGCGGGTGGCTAACTTTGCCCTTGGCATGATTATGGCAGCTAAGGAAGTCACCAACCCCATCACAGGAGGCCCTATTCAGGTCAGATGGAATTTGGTTCAAGTAGTACTCAGGTTATAAAGGGGAATTCCTCAGAATTTTCAAGGTTTCTGCATAATTAAGTGTGTGAGAGGTAAACAGAGTGATTCAGAGTGGTTTGGTATGAAATGGTTCAGATGTCTTTACATGTTTTATATGTAATGTCGATGATGGTTAACTAGTGGAAAATCTTTTAAAAAGCGTATTTATAACCATTTCATGTAATAACTTTATGTGATGGAGCTTTTAGAGGTGGACGTCTGGTTCCTATCACCACCACTGTGAACAATGCTGACTCAGTAAGTTTCTCTAGAACAGAGCATTTTGCACTAAACCACTCTGAACGACTCTGTTTACATCTTAACCATCTAATAATGCAGGAATAAAAAAAAATGAATTTCATTCCTTTTACTTTTAACTCTTCGGATGTCTGTTTCCTGTGGCATTCCTATGGCATCTTAATTGAATTGTGCTGAAATTCTGAAAAATGAGTGGAATAGTCTGAATGCTGACATTTAGGGAGTTTCCACAACATTCTGTGCAATGATATATAGATATAATGGTTATTAACGGATATATGAATATAACTGTTACAATAATACATGATTCACAAATTTCTTTAAATTTCTATTCAAGTGTAATGAACAGTGTTATACAATAGACTTATTAAATATATACAAATGAATAAAACAGTAGACATGACTATGACGTTGGTGTCATGTGTGTGGTGTGAAGATTTCTGTCTTGCTGCTTGCAGATTCGGGTGGGCTTGCACAGTGGTCCCGTGCTCGCAGGTGTAGTTGGGGAGAAAATGCCGCGCTACTGCCTGTTCGGAGACACGGTGAACACGGCCTCTCGCATGGAGAGCCATGGCCTGCCTGACAGGATCCACCTCAGCCCCACCGTTTATCAGTGAGTTAAAGTCTCTGTTTAAAGCCTCTATTACTATCGTTAACATTCTCAGGTGTATTTAAGGCTCCGTATCATATTTTACTTTTGCATTTGAGATTTTCCCCCAGAGATCCACTAAAGTGTACCAAAAACAGTCACAATTCATTTTTACATTAATTGTTACATCTTTATCCCTTACAATTAACCCCTTAACAGGCCGACAGGCCCAAAGTTTTGTTACACACTTCTATAACCCAGGAATAGCTAAACTAGTTCTAGACTAAAGTCCCTGTAGTTACTGAATAATATGCCTTGGTATGTAATAAGCCTAGGATATTAAAGGGTTAAACAGGCTGTTTTTGTTACAGTGCCTTTAAGACTGATGTATGTAAATGAGCTCTGTTCTGATTGGCTGCCCTGTATTGTGCCTCTTTCAGGCTGAAACACTCCTTATAACATCTACGAGAATGGGCAGGGATAAACTGCTGTAGGTTGAATAGACAGATGTATGTAAATGCTTTGGTTTTTGTGACATCACAAAAGCAGTGAATTCAAAACGGTGTTTTTTAGTTTAGTGTCTATATATCGACTGTATGGACTGAGGAGTGAACAGCACTTTTTGAAACTTCAGTAATGTTTACATACCACATCAAACTTTTCTATAAGGGGAAATTCAGTTTTCAATGATATGAGCCCTTTAAAGGCACATTTCTCTCAAATATGCTGCCTTGTCAAACAATAAGAGTGATCTAGAGGGAGCCAATTAATGTGAATTCATTTGCATAACACTAACCAGCAAGCAACTAGTTTTTGCTTAATACAGTTATAATAAAAATGGTAACATAGCTGAATAATAATACAGCTAAAATGAGATTAATCATTGTTGTTATTATAGACACATACGAAACCTAAGATCCTTCTTGATGCCACAAACTCCTGTTTTCCCTCCTTGCTGTTTCTCCAGCGCTCTGCGGGAGAAGGGCTTTCAGTTAGAGGAGCGCGGGGAGATCGAGGTGAAGGGTAAAGGCAGGATGCGGACCTACTTCCTCCTGAAGAACTTGAGAGCTACAGACAGTGAGATTATGGGCCGCTGCACGAGGGAGGCTGGCTCAGGTCAGGAGTCGGTTCACTCCGGCCTTGACTGCAGCTCTGAGCTTCCTTCCTTTAGACCTTCTTTAGAACGTAGGTCATGTTTCTTCTCTTAGCTGTTATATTTTTCCCACAAATTTCCCTGGATCCACTGAATTACGATGTGGTTTAGTGGTCAAAATATGACATAAATATGGAATTTCACCAGGGGTGCCCAAATTTGAACACATGACTGTATTTAATGAAAAATGCACTGCAAGAAATGGTATCTTATCAAGTGAAATGATCTTAAATCTAGTCAATATATCTAACATTTCCCATTTTGAGATTATTAAGTAAAATTATCTCACTACAGCGGCAGATAATTTTGCTGGTTTCAAGCACATTTCTTAAAATATGCACAATTATCTGCCAGTATAGTGAGATAATTTTACTTAATTAAACTACTTAAAACCGATTGCTTAAAACCAAAATGTCCAGAAATAAGGTAAATAATCTTAAATTAAGTTTACAACAATCTCAACAGGAGAAATATTAGATTTATTGATTATGTTTAAGATTATTAAGATAATTTTACATGACGAGATACCATTTTTTGCAGTGTGTGACATTGTTTAGTTTGCAAACATTCGACATGAAGTTTTTACTTTTCCAAAAATGGTAAACAGCCCACCCGTTGTTTCCATTTGCTCATGTTGTGAGGGGCAAAGAATTTTGTTTTTGTGTTTGAAGGTTCAGCCTGTATGCTCATTTACTAAACAACACAGCAAAAATAAAAAAGGTCACATTTGATGTGTATAGCTTTAAAACAAAAAATTGTCACAATATTTAGCATTTTTGTCTTGTTTATTTGCATGATGTTCTTTAGCCTTTAGCTTGTCAGTTAGCAAAATTCATATGTTGACTCAATTCAGAGGATCCAGTGATGATTCAGGGAAAAATGTACATAGGTCAAAAATGATTAAGTGTAAAACATTTTTGTTTACCACAGAGTGCTGATTTTTAATAATGCTGTCAATTTTGCCCATAGAGAAGAATGGCTTAGATTCAGAGGTCTAAACTTAAATAGACATCAAGAGGGAGTAGTTACAGTGGCTAAAATAAACATTTAAAACATTTATACTAAAATATTAACATATGATATAAGATAAATACACTGAGTAGATTTTTTTATTTAAAAATATATGTATTACTTTTGAACCTTTTTTGACCTGTTTCAAACTGTTCTATGCTCCTTCTATGCTCATGTATCTGCCCGTGTTAAATAAATAATAATAAGTAAACCAGCCCTGACTATTGTCCAGGAAAGCGTTAGGCTAAATCAGATTTTGAATAAAGAAAATAAAAGCTCCACCCTTCAATAGCACACATAGGTCTTCACTACAATCAAAATATTTTATTTTAAAGTTTTTTCTTTTATTATTTATTATTGTCATCCTAAAGGTGCCACTGCTTCTGTGTTATCCTGTCACTGTTTTCCTCTCCCTCTCAAATGGGTTCAGTAACTGCTCTACTGAAGCTCTCTCTCTCCCTGCTTTCCTAAAGCTATACAGAGCAGTGACAGACGGCCCACTGTAGCCATGAGATACGGCGACAGCCTGACAGACGACAAGCCTCCAGCTCCGTTTACTGAAGCCCTGCCCAGTGCTAAAAGCCTAACAGGTATCTTTCTAACATCTCACTTTATTTGCAAATTAAATGTTACAGAAAGAGCAGGGGTCTCAAACTCAAATTACCTGGGGGCTTCTAGTAAGGTGGTCTTCTCCAAATGAGGGTTGGCAAAGAAAAGCCCATTTTACAGGGTGATTCAAAAAGATTCATTCGATTTTAAAACCGTAAATCACTGTAAATCATTATAGATCAATGCAGTAAACTGTAAATGGTTTAACTGAGCATAAAGTTTATTATGTAATTTTACAAGTGCTCAATATGAACCACCTCCAGCTGTACTGACCACTGAAGAACAGGGTAAAAGGGGGCTAACAAAGTATGCAGAGAAACAGATGGACTACAGTCTGTAATTGTAGAACTACAAAGTGTACCTATATAGTAAGTGGAGCTGATAAAATGGACAATGAGCGTAGAAACAAGGAGGTGGTCATAATGTTATGCCTGACCGGTGTATATAGGTCTATATAAATATATATAAATATAGAGCCCCCTTTGCTAATTTCTTCCAGCTTGTGCTGTTGTTTTTAGTTCTGCTTCATTGGCGTAGCAAGCTGGGTGGTCAGTCACAGGTACTCATTAGAATATTAGGCCACGCCCACACACTTCTCAATTAAGCTGTGTTTTATTATATTTTTTTCATTCCTTATTTTGTTTTTATTTGTTTTTTTTTTCTATTTATTCTCTAGGACACAATTTTTGAGACTACATCAGCACCAATATGTCACATTCTTCTTCACACCATATACAGTCGTGTGCAAAGGTTTGGGCACTATGGTCATCTGTTTGTTGATTTTCTGAGTGAAAATAAGTCACACATCTTCTACAGAGACACAGTTCTGCACATTTTATTGCACAATTACTGTTTATTTGCTGAATTTAACACACTGGGAAAAATCTAACCTAAAATGTGGCCTGTGCAAATGTTATGGCACATTTTAAATGTTATGTTTTATTCTTTTTCCCAATATGGTAAACTGAGCAAATAAATAGAAATTGTGCACTAAAATTTACAGGAAAATTCCATATTTTAAAGTGAGCTCTCTGTAGAGGATGTATTCACTTATTTTCATTTAGGAAATCAACAAAACATGTCATGTGACCAGGGGGTGTTCAAACTTTTGCCCAGACTGGCTTTAGAAAGAAATCTGGTTATTGACTGACTCAAAGTGCAAAGAGCTGTATGGATGAGTTGCATTCATTTTTTGCAGTTATCAGATTTTTTTGCATATTGTTGCTTTCAGGAAAAAAAACTCGTTTCTCCAGTTTTGTCGTTTTTCAAATTTTGACATAGTTTGAAATCACTAACTGCCCCATTACATTGTGTCCAATAGAAATGCTCCAAAATAACTTAAACACAAGGTTTTGTTCCAACAGCAACAATATGTGCAGTTATATCCAAAAAACAGGTAAATCACGGGACTCTGAGAGCTACGGGAGTCTGCACAGCGGAAACAGGTCTGAAGATGAGCCGTTTGAGCTGAATGAGGACGCCGTCCGCCGCGGGCCCGACGGAGCTGAACCTCCACCTGCTGCTCGCAACAAAAAGCACGTTTGTAGCAGACTCTGTGTGGTGAGCTAAAAGCATAGAGAGCCCCTGTAGGTCCAGTGCTAGATTTGATCTTGTTTGAAGGACACATCTGAGTGAGTACTAGTGTGTGTGTAGCAAAACTGCTCATGTTTTGGTGGATACAGAAGTAATTCATAGTGTAAAATTATAATCATAGCAGTTATTACAACATGTTTAAAGGGTTTCATGTTTTTAGTAAAGAGATTTTTGCTGTTTTTGTCATTTCAAGTCTATATTTCTATCTATTAATTTAATTAGAACATTTGTTGTTCTGTTTTTCTGTTTCCTTATAGAAACTAAGAGGTTTTGTGTTTTTCTACTGTTTCTGACGAGAACTCAATTAAGCAATAGAACACAGGGAGTGTGTTTTTTCCAAAATAACATCACGGCTGTGATTTGGTCGTAGGCACAAGCCGAAGGCAAGTGTCATAGATCATCACGTGAAGTTATTCGCGATAACACACAACCTTGAGTGTTCTATTGCTTTTACACAACAGTTAAATAAATAAAGTAAGAAATTAATAAACTGGGCTGTGAACGCAGCATTTAATATGTTTTAATGTTCGCAGTTCCTTCCGCCAAATTATAGTTCCTTAAAAAGCAGCTTGTTGCTATGTCAGAGTAAAGAACTCCGCTCACTCACTGCACAGTCTGCTGTAAACCTCGCCTTGAAGTACAGACTGAGCCATAAAACTGCCGCAATATCAGGTTTAGCTCAGTTTTGTCATTTTTTGCCAGATCAGTATTAATGTTGTTTTATTCCAGCCAGTCTGTAAAGCATCTTACAGCCCATTTTTGTTTGGCGAATGGTGTTGGGTTCATTTCTGGCTGATTCCAGGTTGTTTAGCTGTTCTTCTGTTTCAGCTGCCGACTGAAAGCTGCTCAGTGGTGATGACAGTTTGGGAATTTAGTGTTTGTCTCACCTTCAGAGTCTGACCAAATCGGCTGTCGGTCAAATGTGATCTTAAAAGTGTCCATTTTCTGTTTGTGGCAAAGTAAGAAGTAAAAACGTTCAAATGGCTCGACAGCTGTCGACAAAAGAGTCCACAAATGTAGTCGTCTGTAATATAGTTTCTGTGCATTTACTATTTACACGAGATTCACAGTTTTTGTGACTTGTTCAAATTTGTAAACATTCAGTGAAAATGGGAACATGGGAAAGAAAAAAAGGGATTATGTGCAGAAAGATCATTCTTTAAAATCAAAAAGTGCTCCAGACATTTTCTTTCCTTCTCTTTACATTTCATCTGCTAACACTGGGCCTCATTCACCAAACGTTCTTAAGAAGAAGTTTCTCCTTAAAACTCTCTAAGCAGTTTTCACGAAGATTCTGACATTCACCCATGTTTTCTTGTCTGGGATTTGTTCTTAGGTAAGAACAGAATCTACACACACTCAAGAGCACAAAGGTGAGAACAGTTCTGCGCTTTAAGAACACGTCATGAATCTGACGTAGACTTTTTCTTAGGACCTTTCTCAAGAACACATCTAAGAACAAGCTTAGGAAGGTATTGGAGAACGAGGCCCAATGTTGCCACCAGTAACAGAAAAATAAAGAAGTTGTAAAGGAATAAACTGTAAAATTACTTGAGCTTAGTCCAGATTTAACCTGATTTATATCAACTGTTCTACTGTTCTTTTTTCTGCTCTAGCAGTTTTACACCAAAGACATAGGCTGGCTTAAAGAGGACTTCCACCACATTTACAAAATTCAATTGTTAAGATGTAAACAAAGTCGTTCAGAGTGGTTTGGTGTAAAACGCTCTGTTCTTGTGAAACTTATCAGTCAGAACTGTTCACAGTGGTGGTGATGGGAACCAGACGTCCACCTCTAAAAACTCCATCGCAAAAAGATCTTACATTAAATAGTTATGAATTTGCTGAGACATTGCTTTATGATTATGCAATTTTGAGCAAAAACCTTTGCTTTTGGATTGTATTCTTGGTGACCCCTGGTTCCTATCACCACCACTGTAAAGAAGTAAGTAAGTTTCTCTACGATTAACCAGTTCACATCAAACTACCACTGAATTATGCAGAAATCCCCATTCAATGCTCCTAAAAACAGTATGATGTCACATTATGAACTACTGACACCAAAACAACCGCTAAAGTGAACTTGAGTCGCGTGCAGGGGCCACGTGGCTTCGCAGGAATCTGACCTGCGAGCGGACCTGTGGACACCTGATCCACGTGGGAGGCCGGAGATGAGGCGTCATTTTTTAAGCCGCCCTAGGACTGGATAGTTTATACTCACAAGCAGTTCACCAATTCATAGTAACTCAGTTTTAAAGAAATAGTAGCCAGTCCTATGGCAGGAGGCGGGATCTGTTGGGAATATAGGGAGAAAAATAATACAGGGATGGCAGCGCTCAGCAGCGAGACTATGGGCAGAATTAGGTCGCTGTGCTCAGATGAATTTGGGGAAACCAAATCTGTAACCGGAGCCGAGGCCTGGAGGTCGGTGTTGCAAATCAAACGTCAGGCTGACCTGAAAACACAAGCTGCCAGCAGTCAGTTAGTTTGGGTTATAAACCTCCTCCACGTTAACATTTACCAGCGTCAGTGTCCACCCCGTAATGTCCTTTACCGGCCATCAATGTCCTCTGCCTGACGTCAGTGCCGGTTTTCCACCTCAAGAGTCTGTTTCCACAATTGCATTAAGATCTTGTGAGCCCCTATCAGGCACACGGTTCGCCAACACAGGCCGGCTGGTGTAAATGTCCTCCACGGGCAGCAGGAAAGTGACCGTCTTCACTTTGGCTCTGAAATATGAATGAAGCACTCGTGCTAAAAACATAATAACTGTAAAAAAAATGTAATTAAAAACCTACACAGGGCAACTTTGCATTTGATTAACTCAAAAAATAGAAAGAAAATAAATCAGTAAATGTAGTAATAGTGATTGATTTGTTAGGCCTTAAATGACTCATGAGGACTTGTTAGGCGGGTCAGTAAGAACTGTAAGCTTCAGGGCAAAATAAATGCTCTGATTCTTTGAACCTTGTGCTAACACGGAACAACCATGGACTCCTCTAAGCAGCTGAAAATAAAGCTGATTTGGTGTCTACAAAGCAGGAAAGAGCTTTAGAAAGATATCAAAGCACTTCCATTTCGAACTGTGGAAGTCAAGATCTGGAAAACCAAGAACTCAGATCGATCCGCTTGTATGCTGGTCAGAAAGGCAAAGTAAAACCGCCATATGACAGCAAAGGACCTGCAGGAAGGTTTAGAAGTGCTGCTGTACAGTGCACAAACATGATCCACAAGAAAGAGTAATCAGAGGAAAACCTGACCTGCAACCTCATCACAAACATCTGAAGTATGCAAAACAAGATAAGTGCTGAAAACTGATGAAGTACAAATGGAAGTCTTTGGCCACAATCACCAAAGTTATGTTTAAAGATAAAAAAGCAGCATGGGATCAAAAGAACACCTTGCCACCTGTACTTTAAGCAAGGGGGTGGATCTATTACGCATTGGGGTTGTGTGGCAGACAGTGGTACAGGAGATGTTGCACAGGTAGATGTAAGAATAGATTCCACCACATTTCAGCAAATTCTGGAAGTAAATGTGAATCAATCCATCAAGAAACTGAAGCTAAAAAGAGGCTGGCAAAACAGACCCCAAAATCCACCATGAACTACTTCAAGAAGCTGAAGCTTTTGAAACAGCCCTCACAGTCTTGAACATCTAAGGAAATCTGTGAGTAGATCTTAAAAATGCTTTGCACGCAAGATGAAGAAATAGAAATAGAGGGAAGAGTGGGTGAAAATACCTGAAACAGGAATAGAACGACTCCTACCTGGGTACAAAAAGCATTTGAAGGCTGTATCATCTGGGTGTTACTACATGCTGTCTTAAACTTTTGTACATGCCACAGTCTAATTTTTCATTTGCAGAAAACATATTTTTTTAAAATAGTTTACTGCAGACTTAATATTTGCTTACTTTTACACCAAAAATGGACAAAATATATAATTTGGTCAGTGGTATCCGAATTTATGCGTACATCTAAGGCAGCCTTTCTAATGAGTCAGTTCAACTACTTTAAGGTCACCCATTACTGACACTGCTGTTCAGTTAATCTCAATAGAAAAGCACTGAGAAAGCTGCACATGAGTTTAAGGTCACCATGCCCAATGCCAAGCGTGGGCTAGAGGGTGTAAAGCCCCCCAGCATTGGGCTGTGGAGCAGTGGAACTGCGTTCTCTGGAGTGATGGAGCTCCATCCAATACCTTTGGGATGAGCTGGAGTGATCCAGAACCGACCATCCAACATCAGTACCTGACCTCACTAATGCTCAATCAAATCCTCACAGCAATGTTCAACATCTAGTGTAAAGCCTTCCCAGATAAGTAGAGGCTGTTACTACAGCAAAGGGGAACAAACTCACTATTAAAAGCCTTCATTTCAGGAGAAGCGCCGCTGTACCTGGTTTGGTTGACGCACTGCTGAAGTGAGCGTTTGCTCTGCAGCTTTTCCTTCACGCTGCTGCTGTCGGATCTTGCGCTGCTGCTGCTGCTGTTTGCTGCACTGCTCTTGTGGGGAACAGTGATGGTGTTGGAGGAGATGGAGTATCGCCGGACAGTCATGATAATGTTTTCTGGTGGAGGAGAAACAGCAGATCTATTCAGTGCACACAATACATGGTTTTTTGAACACACTTCTACACCAATCAGGCATTATGACCACGTCTTTGTTTCTGCGCTCATTGTCAATTTTATCAGCTCCACTTACTATATAGGTTCTCCAGCAGCACTGCTGTGTCTGATCCTCTCAGACCAGCAGAACACACACTAACACACCACCACCACATCAGTGTCACTGCAGTGCTGAGAATAATCCACCACCCAAATAGTACCTGCTCTGTGAGGGTCCATGGGGGTCCTGAGCACTGAAGAACAGGGTAAAAGGGGGCTAACAAAGTATGCAGAGAAACAGATGGACTACAGTCTGTAATTGTAGAACTACAAAGTGCACCTATATAGTAAGTGGAGCTGATAAAATGG